ATTAATTGAGATCATTTGTAAAAGCTCTTGGCTCAATGCCTTGCACATGTAGTAAGTGGTATATAAATGTTAGCCCCTATTATTATTCACTTTCCCTAGGGACAAAAAACAATGCTATAGAGCTAGCAAAGATGCTAAAAGATGGGAAAATAGTGTTGGAGGGGGTGTGGAAAGGCAGCTGGTGCTGACAGAGCTGTGAACTCGTTCAACTTTTCTGGAAAACAATTTAGGATTACGAGAGCAAAGTTACTGCATTGTTTATAACCTTTTTCTTCAGAGATCCCACAAATGGGACTATATTCCCAAGGACATTATTGATAGCAAGAAAAGACTCAAATGTACAAATATGTTCACAGCAGCATTTGTGGTAACAAAAACCTAACGCCCAAGTGGTTGAATAGACTATGGTATACGAATGGGATATCACTTCCTCATGGGGAATGATGAATATGAACTCACAGACATATGGGGAGATGGACATGTCTGATGCAGCAAGGAAAGGAGAATCCAAAGAACAAAATTTATGTGGTGATATGCCCTCTTAATGCCAGTGCCTTCCCTCCGTAATTTCCTATTTATTTTCCGTGATTTCCTATTTATCCTGTATACAGCTTGTGTGTACATATTGTGGTCTTCCCCATTAGATTGTGAGCAGGCACTGGCTTTTGCCTCTTTGTATCTCCAGTACTTAGCACAGTGCCTGGCACTACTACCTTAGGCATTCCATAAATGCTTATTGACTGAATATGTAACAAGTCAACAAAATTTGGGTCAAGTTCAACAGTCAATGCTGGTGCCATATGGTCAGAGCCAAAGAATACAGCCCTCCTTTTGGCAACAGTTGCTAAGCTGTGTTTTGGGAATGTTCTTCCTAAGGGGGTTTGTTGGGAAGTGTTCTCTGTGTCAAAACTAAACGTATCAATAAACTTAACCACTTGTACTTTGGTCTCTCGAACCCAGATGTGGATTGACAGAAGCTGGAGAAGTCAAGGCCTCATCCTTTCCCTGTGCCTAGAGTGCCTGCCTGTGCCTGAATAACTCCTCCCCATCTGCCAATGCCCAGCTCAAACCCCAGCCTTTAGCAGGTGACATCCACTTGCCTCCACCTTCCTTATTCTCTACCATGGCTAGGGCTCCCTAGTCCCTGGTTGTGAGTTCCGTAGGCCATCACCCAGCTAGTTGGCAAAACCAGGAGGAGAGGGTCAGCAACTGACTGGTTTGGCTTCTGTCTTCTATGGGCTCTTCGAATAGCAAGAGGTTCATATTCCAAAGGATATTTGTATGAGTATTCTCTCCAATTCAAGTCAACACTCAGCAGTATATGACCTTCAAGTGGATGTGGACAAAAAATTCATCACCTGGTGGCCAGTCCTCTGGTAAAGGGCATCTCCATACTTTGTTAATGATAGATGACATTTATATAGCACTTTATAGAAATGATATCATTTGATCCTCACAACCACTGTTTGTGGATGAAGAAATCAAGAGAGGTTAGGTGACTTGCCAACGGTTGCATACTTAGTAAGCACTGCAGGTGGGATTCAAACCCGGATTCTTCTGTGGTCCTATGCCACAATGCCTCAGCCAGGCTGCCTAATTTAACTTAACAAATGCTTATTACACATTTACTATATGCAAAGTTCTGTGTACAGTGCCAGGCTGCCCTTCTAGGGGGAAATAGCTCTTTGTCTGATATATTTGTTAGTACCTCTATGCTTCGGGTTTTATTTTTGACAGGCCTGCGATTTCATAGCTGCAGGGAGCTCCGGATGAGAAACTTCTTCCACTAATGCAGATCAACACTTGCTCTGCAATTCATATTCTTGGGGGTTCCTGGGCACCCTGAGAGGTGAAGACTGGCCCATAGTTACACAGCCAGTAAGTAGGTGTCAGTAGCAGAGGCTGAATCCAGGGCTTCCTGACTCTCAGGCCAGCTTTTTATCCCCATCATGCTGCCTCTTAGGTATAGTGAACTTGGATCGGAAATACTTGTGGTAAAGATTTTTTTCTCTCCCAATGAATCTCTCTTTTATCTTAGTCATACTGATTGTTTTTGTGCTATACATTTTAAATTTCATGGAACTGGAATTAATCTGTTTTATCTTTTGTGATTCCCCTATTTCTTCTTTGGCCTGTGAAAGGCTCCATCTTGTTCTCAAAAATTTTTTAAAATCATTTCCACCTCACCTTTACCCTAGTTTTCTTTAAGTTCATGTGCCACCTTTCAGATGAAGCCTTTCCCCTTCTCTACACTGCACATTCCACTGCACCCCCCAAGCTAGCTGGTAAGCTCCCTGAGCCTCTCACCCCCTCACTTTTGTCCTGGAATCCCCAAAGCCCAGCACAGTGCCTGACACACAAGTCACTGTTAAATGACAGGAAGAATCTTGGTCTCCTCCCTGATTCTCTAATGTTATTTATACTGATCCAGATAACTAACCTTGTAGAATAGTGTTAAAGATAAATAGTTAAATAGTTAAAGATGCTTTGACAGTCCAGGTTTGTATCATTCAAAGGCTCAGGACTCACGTTCTTACCAATCCCTTAACCAGTTGGACAGAATAGAAAGAAAAGTAGATTTAGGAGGCAGAAAATGTGGCCTCCAGTCCAAGCCCTGTAGATTTCTTTGTTTTTTTTTTTGGAGTGGGTGTAGTAGATGGTAGTGATTGCCAGCTGTAACTTTGATTTCTTTGCTAATGAGGAAACTCCCTTTGCCAATTCAGACAGGCAACTGCAGAGTTCGCTGGGACATAGAGGCTTAATGACTTAAAACTCAGCCCTCCTAAACTGTACAATTCAGTCAAGCTGGCCTTCTCTGCATTCCTCAAATGCAATACTCCATCCTGCATCCTTATGACTTTGCACAGGTCATTCCTTATTCTTAGAAACCACCCTCAGCTCAGGCACCATCGTCCACAAGGCCTTTCCATCCTGATCCTCCAATTCCCATTGCCCTTTCTCCCAAGCTAGCCTGTATTTAATGTGTGTGTGTGTGTGTGTATATAAACATGTGTAATTATTCACTTTATGCTTTTTTTAAAAAAAGTACTTTTTATCTCCCTCAGAATGCAAGCTTATTGTGAATAGGATTTTATTCTTTTTATCTGTATTTCCAATGCCCAGCAGTGCCTGGCACACTGTTGGTGCTTAATACTTGACGACTGATTATCCACTATATCACACTGCCTCTGGGACAGGGATTCTTAGCTGGGTGTTCATGAACTTGGATGGGAAGAAAAAAATATATCCTGTATGTCCTTGATAATTTGGGATAAGGTAGAGAGCTCTCAAGAGATCTAGACAGGCTTCGAGGGGAGGGAGTGCATTTGAGGAACACCTTGTGCAAAGATGGGGAAGCAAGAGATAAAATGGAAAGTCTGGGGAGCAGGAAGCTAGCCAGTGTGGCTAGAACACAGCCTAAGAAGGTGAGTCATGACCATTAAGCCTAGAAGAGTAGGCTGGTGCTAGATGGTGAAGGGCCTTAAATGCCAACAGGAAGGAACCTGCTGAAGCTTCTTAATCAGGGGAGTGACATGCTAACATCTGTAAAAATTCCTTGACCTCCTAAGGTCTCCTCATTTGTGGGAACAACACTCCTCACATGAGCATGATCAAATGCAAAAATATTTTTTGAATTGTCAAGTGCTCGATGTGAGCTACTAAAAAAATCTCACTCCTTTCCTTATCAGATTCATGTTCAACTGGCTGAAAAATATTTCCAGGTATGTTACAAAACCACAACATTTCTGCTCCCTTTAACTACTAGGCCTCTCACTGGTGACACTCCTCATCAAAAGTTTTCTCCTCTTGGTTAGTATAAGAAAATGTCAGCTGACCTCATCTCTGTTAAAAGACACAACTGTGAGGACGTTGTTTCATTTATTCAGAGACTCAAGTCACTGATTCGCTTGTGCATGTTCAAACTGTTCACTGCTGACATATAACCACCTTTCATTTTTAGCTTGGCCACTGTTTTGATGTATGAACCGTAACAGGTCACCCCTTTCTCTCAATCCTCAGTATAGACATTTGTAAGGTGACTGATAACTACCCTACAGAAATATCAACATTGCCATTTGTAAAATGGGTGGTTAGACCAAGTAATCTTAAAGGTTCCTTCCTTTTCTAAAAAACAAAACCAAAAAACTCCAGACCCTTAGCCTGCTTTATATTTTTAATAATTGGCATTTATATCATACTGTAAGAGTCAATCTACACAATAACACTGAGATTCTAGATCCTACATTTTTTTTTTTTTGGCGAGGCAAGTGAGGGTTGAGTGACTTGCCCAGGGTCACACAGCTAGTAAGTATTATGTGTCTGAGGCTGGATTTGAACTCCTGACTCCAGGGCCGGTGCTCTATCCACTGCGCCACCTTGCTGCCCCCAACACTATGGGATTCTATAGGGATTATTTCCATTTTATGGATGAGGAGACAGAGGTAAAGTCAATTGCTCACGGTCAAAACTCCTAAGTGCCAGGGGACGGAGGACTGGGCTGGGGACATGAACCTATGTTTCTCTTGACTGTAAGTCCACAGCTTTTTCCACTTTGCCAAGCTGTCTCCCTTTGTTGGTAGCTACGTTAACGGGTCATCCATTCAACTTCATAGTCTTTCATGGATATCTCCCCAATCCCATCTCCAGCAAGTGGCTCTCGAGCTTTGGCTGTAGATACCCAATGACATCTTCCCAAGACAATCTAATCCTACTTTTGAATAGCCCTGATTGTTGGGAAGATTTTGCTTCCATCAGGTCACAGGCTGCCTGTCCCTTCCCCACACTGCTCCTTGCTCTGGCCACTAGAGTTGAGGAGAACAAAGGTAGCCCCTCTTTCATTTGGTGGACTTTCCATCAGTACCTAGAGGGTGAAGGTGCTCCCCCCACTCCAATTTCTCCCCTGATGAACCCAGCAGCTCCTCTCCCTTCCAACTTTTTGAAGGGCCACTCAGAAGGAGCTTTATTTCAGTACGATAGCAATAAATGAGTGCTATGTGGAGACAGGCAAAAACAAGGAAGTCATCATTTATTACAAGTCAACTGTGCAGGCACTTTTCTATTTGACAGAAGGGCAGCATCACCAGGCCCTGGCATATTTGGCTGCAGAGGTACCAGGGAGAGAACAGGCAGCTTAGGAAAATACCAGAGCACAGGCCAGGGCCAGACACCTCCACTCTAATGAAAGTACAGGAATGTTTCAGCTTTATTATTAAGGACATGAGGAAAAAGAGCTGAGGCCCTGCCCTGGCCCTTAGCCATTCTGGGTTCATTTCTGAACTGGACAGCATGTGGGAAAGAGGAGAAAAGTGATGGAGGAAAGATGTCCTCTGCTGCTTTCCTCGGGATGACCTGAAGATCATCACCTCTCCTCTTTTTTCCATTTTGTCTGTTGAAAGCAAAATCCCTGTTTTTTTTATTTCCACTCTGTAGTTTGTCCTCATTACAGGTATGACTTTTCTTTCTTATAGTCAATCACAAAAAAAAAATACAAAGGAGACAAGACAAGGCAGCAAAGGCAACATATGAACAACAAGTCATTTAAGTAAAAAGTCCCTTCTCTTCATGGTAACGGGCTCTGGCACACAGAACTTCACTTCCTCGCTCCCATGGCACAGACTGTGTAGCAGTGAGGAGACCATCACAAGCGGCCACGTCATGCCCTCGATCCCAATGTCTTCGGGGCGTGTCAGATGGATGCTTCCCTGGAGAATTTATCTGTAGTCTACCTTGGATGGTCAAATGCTTTCTCACAATGGTCCAAACAGTACTTTTATGTGATCAGGGAAGACACAACTGTAAAAGTTCTTTCCATATTTTCAAGTGAAAATATTTTTGCTTTTGAGTTCTCGGAATGATGTATTCTTCACCAACCTGAAAAGAAGTTTTATAAGTGTGCTGTGGTCAAATTAATGGCCCCAACTCTTCATTAACTTAAATACATATTAAAGGAAAGCTGCACAGCATTAATATAAAAGTATATATATATGTATATATATATATAATATATATAATTTGGTCTTCCATTAAGGCCGTTACATTTTTAAAATTTTGTAAACTGCATACAAATAGTTACCATAAAAACATACAAAAGGGCGGAGCTGGGAAACATTGGCAAAGGGGCCTGTTCTCCCTTTTGGTCCTATTAGATAACCCACAGTGAGCAAATACAAAAGGCAAAGAGGAGCTGACACAGCACCAGGTACAGCTTGCAAATAGCAGGCTCATCTGAAAAGGTAATTTCATGATTTAATACCTATACAGATTTTAATTTAATAAGTGCTCCAAGAGTAGAGAATTGATTATGGAGCCCTACTGCCTAACTCCTGCAGGGACACTTTCCGGAAGACCAAGGCACACTGTGTCCCAGTCGGTTCTGTCTCACTTATGAGCACACAAGCACAAGTGTGTGCTCCCCAACAAAACAACAGGCCAGAAGAGCTTATCATCAGCTGCAGGGAAGTTACGACTCGAATGGTCCACTCTGGGTCCGACTTCAGCCATCAGCCTTGTTCACGTGGGGAACGAAAGGGTAAAGTGGAGGGTCAGAGTGTCTGCGCTTTGCTGCGGCTGCCAGGTTGTAGTCAGTCAAAGGCTCCTGAGCTCGGCCTGGGTCACCTCCTGCGGTGATGTACACAGACTGAATCTGGTCCGTTCGCCGGGCTGGCTGCTCCCTGCGTTTCACCGGGACCTCGGCTTCCTTTAGGGATGAAGTCCGCCTCTGCAGGTGGGTTGACATGCCATACGGGAGCTTGATATTTGATGTTGGCATGATAGGAGTCCTCCGAGGAATTTTAATTCTAACCGTCATTGAAGATGGTCTTTGTCTCAGCTGAGAAGAGACTGGATGAGAGTGTGAGGACGTCAAAGGAACTGAAATGCTGGATGTTCTAGAAGTAGGCAGGTTGTGGCAAGGAAATGCGAATGTAACCATTCCTTTTAAAAGGAAAATAAGGCAAATTATTGTGTCTTTTGGAGAAGGCAGTGAGCCCCTTGAGTGTCATTGCAGAGGTAACCTCAAAATCTGAAAAATCATTATAGAAGGTAAGAAAAGCACACACTACCTTAATACTGACCTTCCGTGTCCACCCGCCCTGCTCTGTCGTCCAGAAGGCTCTCGGTGCTTACTGATGTCTCTGAATCCAGATTTTCCTCATCTGAGCCTCGCTGATCTAATTCGGGTAACCGGTAAGTTATATCTTCCCTGTGTGAAAAAATGATTTAATGTAAATGATATCCTACAAATTAAAAAAAAAGTATCTAAGAACCATGAAAACCATACCCTGTTGGAACTATCAGGGACTTTACTGACCACCGACCAATGGGGGATTCAACCTCCCCCACTTTGTGGATGAGGAGAAAGGAACGGGTTTGCTCAAGGTTGTGGCAAAACAGGGACCAGAACCCACGTCCCTGCAGGCGAGCCCGCTGGTGCTCTTCCTCCTCCTCTACCACACTGTCCCGCCTCTGTTGCCTGACATGGGTAGTGGTTTTTCCTTCAGTTTGTCCTAGATATTTGGGGCTCAGAAGTGGCAGGTGAAGGCAAGAAATAGCACAAAAGGAAAGCAAAACCCAGAACTTGCTTTTCTTCCTTTATTGACTGGATGCGTTCAATCAGAATTTCCTTTTCCCGGTCATCATCTCCTTCGGCTTGCTCCTCCTGCAGGACGCCTAGTCCGTCTACACTGCCATCACTGAGCTTAGACTTGGGGCTTTTGTTCTAGAACAAAGAAGGACATCTAAGTGGTGGTCTCCCTTCAACCAAGAGTTAGTACTGGCTCTAACAGCAGACAGACAAGCAGGAGAAGCTGACAAGTTGTTAATTCATACATGGATGAGACACTGAGAAGACAGATTCTCTGGATGAATAATGGTCAATGGATCTGGATTTACTTGCCTAACTCATTAATAGCATATCTTCTTAGCCATACATTGATTATTTCTAGTGATTGTTGCAGTCTACCAACTCTAAGAGAAAACAAATGCAAATGTCTACAACAAGGCATGCATGCACTTTGAGTAGATTTAATATGTAGTTGAGTTCATGCTAGAAGAATTCCTAAGAAGCCATGAAAACCCAGGTCATGCCGTTGTGCCCAAGAGTCATGCATAAGGAAACCACTAAGTTCTGTACGTACCATCACCCCCTCATAGGGAGAGGAAAACCCCAGTTTTAGAGGCCACAGCTAGAGAGAGACGAAGACTAGGTTGACTATGTCAAACATATATGGTCACTTAAAAAAGCTCAGACAACAATTGCTCCACGGGGGTAGGAGAGGAAGCACATTGGGTCAGAGGAAATGGGTTTGCTTCACTCAGTTGCCCATACCCACCACCCTCTTCCTCCTACCCGAATCTTCATTTTTCACAGCTATATACAAAGGGAGAGGGAAAAAAGTATGTGGGTTTATGTCCTTGAACACGTGAACACGGAGCCAAAGCAACACAAGGAACTGAGCAAAACGCCCAGATCTGCCTGGCTCTTCGCTACCCAGAGAGACAGCTAAGAATCTGCGTGAACAACTAACGGGTATGCCTTGGACTAAATAAGATCAAAGCAAACCAGGGGCAAGGACGTCCCTGGGGAAGCAGGGACTTTGTGGCAGGAGGGCCTCCTGGTTTGTAGTTACAGGACAATGTTCCTTCTCCAGCCTCCGGTCTCAGACCGTTGATGGTGGAGAAGTGTCAGAGGCTACAAATGAGAGGGGGACTACGGGGAGGCTGAAGGGGGAAAGGTAAGAAGGCCAAGGGTGTTTTGTCTCCCAATCTGTACATGCAGATTTACAGGAGTAAATGAATACCCATGTTCATGCTTAATGGGCCCTGCAAACACTAGCTGGATGACACAGCCTTTCCTGTGCAGGGCATGAATAGAAGCTGCGTTCTTCTGCTACGACACAGACACATACCTCCCGGCAAGATGATAAGAGATGGCAGGGTGGTGGTGGACTTTCCTCTATCCTGAACTTCAACTTGCCAGTGGAAACCTGGTCAGTCTGGCCTGGGAGGTTATCATTTTATGCTCTGACTGAACGAATCTTCTGCATTTCACTAAGTCCCAAACATCAAGGTGGTTATCTTTTCTTGTGTCTCAACCAGCCTGACTACGAGTCATAATTTCCCTAGCCTCCTTACCCATTTCCCCTAATCATAGTCTTATTTGCAGCTTCTGGGTCTTCTCAAACCCATGGCAGCAGTCTAAGGCCCGAAGTGAGAGAAGGGCCATGGGACAGAGCCGGTTAGAGACAAAGAAGGGGAACCTCTGCTGCCCGCTGTTGCCACGATGGAGTCCTTACTTCTGTTCAAGGTTCTGGAAGACTCTCAAACGCTCTAGACCAAACTTGCACTCCATCCCTGCCCACCCCAGCCCCAGAAACTCAACACTAGCCACTTTCAATCACTGGAGGCTTACTGTATTTTGCCGGAGAAGTGACAATCTTCGAAAAGCAATGGTCTCTGCTGCTTCCAACTGGTTAATTTCTTCCATTTTTATCTTGTACTTTCTCATTTGCTCCTTGATTAACATCTCTACACACCTGTGGGTAAAGACAAACCTTGTCACATCTAGGTCCTAAAGAGTGGGTGAAAGGAGGCTTGGGTGGTGGGCAGAGTGACCTTGGCGGGCTGCAAGAGTTAACAGAGATCCAGGGAGGGCAGAAGCATTTACTCACAGACTCAAGGTGGGGTGCATGCCAGTCACTTCAAACTACTGTCAAACAAGAAACCCAGTGTTTATTATCAGTGATGAACATTTATAGGGCACAATAAGGTTTGCAAAATGCTTAACATACGTGATCTCATGTGATCCTCCTAACAAGCCTGTGGGGTGGGTGCACTTGTATTACTTCCACTTTTACCAACAAAGACATATGAAGCTCAGACTTGTTAAGTGACATCCCTAATGTTACACAGATAGTAAATACAGGATTTGGACCCAAGTCTCTGGTTAGTCTGCTATTTCCACTCTATCACATTGGGGAAAGCTGGGGAAGGTAGAGACCACTCCAAGGAATCAGCATGTAATGGGGAATAGGTGTATGTAAGGTGATCCTGTCAATGGAGTTTGATGCAGATGTGAGAGTAGGTCCAGTGTCAAGTAGCAGTACAAGATGAGGGACATTAGGCAGAAGGGAAAGAGGAAACAATGAGGAGCTTTATTCACAGGGATGGTTTTTGCCCCTGCCTTGGGTGCTGGCTAACCTGTGGTGGTCTGAGACAGCACTTGAACTCAGGTCCTCCTGACTTCAGGGCCAGTGCTCTATCCACTGCGCCACCTAGCTGGCCTACCCATGCTATTTTAAAGAGAGATGCTCCCAACTGACAGGGATAAATGACCTGCTGCTCTCTTTCTCAGCTGGCAGTGCTGTCTCTAAGGGCAATGCCAGGGACTTAAGAAATTGCTGCTGACTAACATCAGCAGCCTACACAGCTGGCTTACAAGAGAATGCTTCACTTAAAGGTGAGAGCTCTGTGGCCTGATCATGAAAGAACACAGAAGAGGTAATCTGTCTAGGTAAACAGAAGAATGTGGCCAAGATAAAGGGATTATTGTAGAGTTCAAAACCAAAAAATAACCCAAAGAAGGTGTCCTAGGCTCGTCTGAATACTCCTCTGGGACAGCTGTCTGTGCCTGACGGTATTCAGACGGCAGAGCCCACCAGCACCTCCAGAGGGCCTTCTGAGCCCCCTCGAGATCGATGAAGTTCTTCCAACTCTCCTTCCAGTCCCTCCTGCTTTGCCTTTGGTGCCTGTCTAGAGCAGTGAGTTCCAAATGTTTATTAGGTATTGTGGAAAGAAGCATGTCCTTCGATCTGTAGCTTTGAGGAGACAGAATATCAGGGACCCCCTTCATGGCCTCTTTCTTGAAAACAGAATGCCCCATTTCTCCTCCTTTCATGTTTTGCCCTCTGGTAATGAGGATGGCACTTTAATAGAGACAGTAACACAAACATTTTCATCCATATTTGAATTTTTTGTTCCAGGCTTGTCAGAAAAGTAATTAAATATTCAGATGATGTGAGAGGTGAAATGCTTCTGCTCCTGCCATGGAGGAAACACACCCCTGCTGGGAGGAGAGAATGAATCCCACCACAGAGCTCAGTGGCCGCTGGGAGAGTCTCTGAGAAAGGTGCTCATAGTTATAGCAACCATCATACATATTAATCAGATTTTTTATGTGACACATGTCCGAGTCATGATAAGCGCCTAAGACTCACGTGGTTGTTTTCAAGACATCCTTCATGCTGGTGAGGGGATCGGAATGATCAGGACAGCGCAGCAAGCACGGGGCAAAGACGATTGCCAGAGCACTGGGCGACATCCTGTTCACTTCCTCGATTAGGGCCACTCTGCCAAGGAAAATGTTGAAGCGATTATTGACAGGGTCCATCCTCTTCAGTCGGGGACTTCCACGGTGGGCTGGTGTAGGGGCCTTTTCCACCAAAGCCTCTGCAGGCCCACTGTACTGGGCAGGGAGTCTTTGAGAGCTACAGTGGCCACCCCGCTGGTGAGCCAGGTGAGCAAATGAAGTCCGCGGGCAAGAGCCCTGTCACATGCTCCCTCCCCAGCTCTGCAAAGGCTTTACAAAAATGGATCTACCATCTAACGATCTGCTTAGTTAAGTTCAGAAAGCTGCCCGTCAACTACAGGGTTTATGTTGTAAATAAAACATTCATGAGGAATTCATACATGTGGTTCTAAGCAGGTCCTCAAACTTTTCAGAGGAACGTTTGGAAACAGATTTAGAATTCCATGTTCTACATGGGAAACACACAAGTTTGATGCTCCAGTTAAATAAGGATCACCTTTATTCCAACCTCAGCTGAGATCATTTGAATGGCTGCCCTTCATGCCTCTCTCCACTACCCTGGCCAGTTCCTTTCATCTTTTTTTCCTCAGCTTCTTTCACATCCTCTCTCTACTGGTTCTTGCCCCTACAGGGTTTTTGGATTGTCTTCTGCCCTCCTGGTGCACCATGAAAACGTGGGTGCTGCTGCTCTGTGGGGCTCTCTGCGCTTAGGCTGGCTTGTCTCAGCCCAGCAGAGTGGGCTGCTCTGGACTCTGCCAGTGGCAGAGTTTGGGTGCCCTCCTCCTCCTCTCTAACGTTCTGCTGCAAACATGCAATGCCTGCTAAAGACTTCCTGGTCAGGGCATTCTTGAAGGGGGGCCCAGCTCTCTAGTGAAACATTAAAGCTGCTCCCAGTTTTGAACTTTCCATGGAAAGGGAATGGCGTTCATGGGAGGCTAAGCTAGCTCCCACATAAAATCAAGGAAGAGTAACTTACTTGACAAGATGAAAGATGAGCCGCTCCAGGGTGTTGTGATTGGCCTGGGGAAGATGCTCTAGGACAGCATAGATAGCGGCGAGCTGTTCTTGCTTCTCTGGTAACTCTGCAGAGATGGAGGAAGAGAAAGCATCACCCTGAGTCCATCGAGTCCTGCACCTCCCACAATCCCCTGTGAACTGTCCTCCTCCCCAGGCAGTCTCTCAGTCTCAGACCCAGAGAAGCCAGCGGGCACAAACATGTCAGGAATGTGGCTCCCAGAGGACACTCACCAACAGCTCGGAGAAAGTCATTGTACTGAGCAAATGTCATAAGAGGTTCTGGCAGCTCTCTCAACCACAGCTTCAAAACACCAGTGATGGCATGAATGGGGTAATTCTCCAGTTTCACAGAATTAGGATCTGAAGGGGAAAAAATGACTCTATAAGCCAAACATTTAACTTTGGGAAAGAACAAGGAGTCAGTCTGCAGAGTGACAGGGAGGCAGAGCTTCCTCTAACACCTCATCTTTAGCAGCTAAAGCAACTCATTTAATAAGGTGTTCGAGGGGGAAATACGCCTATTTCTGGATTGGCCAGGAATAACTCAACAGTGATTCAATGTCCCTGGGCAGAAGCCAGATCTGCTGGACATGCTGGTCAGGATTCATCAGCTCTCGTACCTGCTTGCAGGGATTGTTTGAGCTCTCGCATTCGATTGGCTGCCCCCGACTTTCGGTAGATCCCTTCAGTGTATAAGCCGTGCATCTCCACGTGCTCCAGTAACTTCTCCAGAACCACGGGCACTGAAATCTTGTCGCTGGTCAGGTTGCTCACACACACCCCAAAGTGCCTCGTCTCCGCTCCGGGCTCACTCTGCGATGGAAGCGGGAAGATCAGCTCTCAAAAAGAACACGTGTAGTACGTGCACTGGACTCCAGACACCGCGCACATACTCCGCCGCTGTTAAAAAGCACGACGGCTCCTTCCTAGCCCTGCTCCAGCCCCCGCAGGCCCCCCCCCACTCTCTGCTGTCACCACCACACCTGCACTCTGCACCATCATCTCAGGGCCTTCAAGAACCAATCCTAATGTTTGCATTGACCTGGGCACCTTATTTAAGTTTCCCACTTTACACGGTAGCCCCAGCTTTCATCCTTCAATAGGCTCCTCACCTCCAAGCCACCTCAGCCAATCCCTGGGTCTTGAGACCCTCAGAACTTAGGAACCTCCCCCTCTCAAGAGAACCACCTAACTTCCCATCTCTTTCATTCTCTTACTTACTGGGCTTAATTTTGGTGCTCATGGTGAATGACACTTTCTCTTCTCTCACTTCATTTAATTGGCAGGTAGGTGGCATACTACAGAGTGCTAGGAGATTTGGGTTTGAATCCTGCCTCAGACATTTACTAGGTGGGTGACCCTAGGCTTAATCTTTTTTTTTTCAGCCTCAGTTCTCTCATCTGTAAAATGGGGACTGTAACAGCATCTACCTCATGTGGTAGTTGTGAGAATCAAATTAGATTACACATGTAAAAGGCTTTGTAAATTTTAAAGCACCATATGAATGTTTGATATTATTGTTATTAATCAAACCGCCTTCTTCTGGCCCTATGTTCTTCTAAATTTAGCCAAGCCTACACAGGATGGACAGTCCACTTCAGAACTGTCCTTAATAGCTCCCATGTCTAGCCCAAGGTTACTTCTGCCACCTGCTTTCTCCACTCCTGCTCTTAAGCTGGGAAAGGAGTGAAAAGGAACCCACATTCACCTAATCACGTGGGTCCTCACCTCTCCCAGGCAAACCTCTTACTCTTCATTTGTGGATTCTCCACAGCAGGTCTTTTGACCTTTCCATCCAACTCTCCTCCTTTTCACTCCAAACTGCTAGAAAAGGCTTTCTACATCACTGTCTTCTCACTCCATTCTCAACTCTCTACAATATCTGGCTCCAACCTCAGCACCCAACTTAGCTGCTCTCTCCAAAGCGGCCACTGATCTCTCATGACCCTTTTCTAGTTCTCACCACTCTTGACCTCTCTGCAGTCTCTGACTCTATTGACCATCCTCTCTGGGTTTTTGTGACATTGCTTTCTCTGGATTCTTCCAGCTACCTGACTTCTCTTCCTCAGCCTAATTTGCTGGAACATCATTCATATCACATTCCCTAACTGTGAACACACTCCAAGGCTCTGTCCTGGGCCCTCTTCTCTGCCCACAACCTCAGCTGGCCACCTTGTCTGTTCTGATGGCTTATGGGTGTGTAACAGCAGTCACTAATGCAGAGTCATTCTGAGGTGACCCCATGTTTTAACCTTGCTTGACTCTGGCTTTGTGCAGCCAGCCTGTAGGAGAGGTCAGTCTGCAGGAGCACTAAGCTATCTTCTTAGCACTAATCCCATCTCCTCATAATGAGTACCCCTGTTGCACATGCTCATTTATCCCATCTTTCATAAGAAACTAAAACCAATCAAAATACTTAGGGAGGAGCTGAGGTGGTACTAACCCCATCTTGCTGAAATGTGATTCACCATTGTCTTTCCCTTATATGGGAGTGGTTTACTCCTGATTTACTCCTGTCCATAAAAAGCAGCTTCAAATGGTGGCTGGCCCACTCAATGCTTATTGTATTGGTGTGCCCAATAAAATTCTTTTAACTTTCCAAGTTTGCCTCACTGATCAGGGCAAAAGCTAGAACAAAGATTACTTTTAATACTGGTACCTTTATCCTGAGAGCCCGAGTCTCTCTCCTGAGCTCTACTTCTGCCTATTGGGCATTTTGAACAGGACATCCTGTTCCTATGTAAAGGGATCTCAACCTCAGCCAGCCCCTAACAGAACTCATTATCCTTCCTCTAATACTCACCTGTCTCCCAAACTTTCCTATTCTTGTTGGGGAACACCATCCTTTCAGTGCCCCGGGGCTGCAGCCTTGGCATTTATCCTCAATCCCTCACATATCTAACCAGGTGCCAAATACTATCATTTGAATTTCTGAAGCATCTCTTTCTCCACTCTCCTGCCTCCTCTCCACTCCACTCCCACAGCCACCAGGCTGGTGGAGGCCTTTGTCCCCTCTCACTTGGACGACTGCAGGAGTCTCCTAACTTTTCTCCCTGCCTTTCCTCACTCCAACCCATCCTCCACTGCTGCCAACAGGATTTTCCAAAGCAAACACCAGACCTAACTCAGTAAATACTAACAGCTTCTATTACCTCAAGGATCAAACCTAAATTCTCTTGTTTGGCCAGACTTGCCCCACGGTACATTTCCAGACTTCTTATTCATGACATCCCTTCCAGTCCCAGCAGCCTTCTCTCTGCTCCTCTCTGGCCTGGCTCTGTCTGTGCAGAGGCCAAGCAGCACATCTGGAAGGCGCTCCCTCCTCTCAGGACCCCTTTCGAGGCTCAGCTTGAACACCATCTTCTACACTAAGCCTTGCTTTACTTCCCCCACTACAAGCCTCCCAATTACCTGGTATTTATTTTATATATATTTATATACGCATGTCTCTCCTGATAAAACAGAAGCTTGTTGAGGGCAGGACATGGGAGTTTTGTCTTGGGAGACTCCCAGTGGCTAGCACAGCGCTTGGCACATAACGGATTCTTAATGAGTGCTTGATTAGTAAGGTGATCCAGGGTGGCTTCTTCCATCTGCTCTAGTTCACGGCAGCTCTGTATCTCTTTTCCTACCTATCTCAGAGGAAAGAGGTTTCGCTAACTCCTCACTTCTCCCTCTATGCTTTTGTTGCTATTGCCCCTCAACTCTTCGGGGACTTTTGTCTGTCAGTTACCTTTCCTTCTCCAATGTCTACAAACACACTAAGGTTTTTCCTAATGTAAAAAGAAAATTCCTTCCCCTGAATTTCCCAATCTACAGTTACCATATCATTTCTCTTTCTCTTCACCCCCACACTTTTAAAATGAACAACCTGCACTTATCTTCTCACCATTTAGCCCGTGCCTCTGTACATGTACCATGTACCGGAACCACAGCCTCACAAAAAAAAGAGCTGGAAGGGACTGAAGGGACTGTTTGATCTGACCTCCTCATTCTGCGGAGGAGAAATCAGTGACCTAGAGAGGTTAAGTAACTTGCCCAAGGTCATCAATGATTTTTAAATCACCAAATCCAATAGATTTTTCTGTCTCCATTATTCTTGACTTTCCCCTGCTTAAAGAATGAGGTTCAAGCCAAAGCCCAGTCCCTCCACCTCGGAATTCACTGAGAAAACAGAAACCACTCCCTGCTGAGTCCCTCTTTTCTCCTCTGTCTCAAAGTCCTGACACCGCTCCTTGTTCTTTCCTCCTTCACTCCAGTCCCTTATGCTAGTTGATGAAGTCCAGTATGGCCCTTATCTATCAGAAGGCTCACTCATGCCTAGCGCGCTACTGCAATAATCAGTGCCCCAACTTGACCCCAGGTGATTTGGGGGGGGGGTACAGGCTTTACATTCTCCTGTGATCAACAGGCAGACATCTGACTATGTCAACTTCCCATAGAGGTCAAGCGACAGCCATGGTGTGGTAACTATTCCACTCACTGAGCTTATGGGTGCAGATCGTCACCTTGTAGTGTGTCAGGCTGCTGGCCAGCAGCGCTAAATATTCAAGTACTCAGTAGCTACTATAGCAAAGTTGAAGCTCAGATTAATTGGTTTAATAGCCCATGGAGCCCATGGGGAATACTGCCAATCTTCCCTAGGAGAGGGGAAGCCAGCCATTAAAAATCCTATGTTTTCCTGGTCACCCTAGCAGAATGTCCTGTAGGAGGGCCCCATGCTCTCCTGGGCACGGCTCCCCAGACCTTGCTGAGTGTGTTTTTGAGGCTTGGTGGGTTGCTTACAGATGGAATTGTCCTCTTACTGGGGCTTCTAGAGGTTCTACACCCCAAAAGAGGGAAAACCTGACAGAGAGCAGAGGGCTTCTTATTGTCTAACCCCCAGATCCAGGGATTCTGGTTGCTTCATGCCCCAAGAACAGGATATGCCTGACCCTGAAGGCTGTGTGGGTCTCTCTGGCATGCTAGGCCTAACCAGCGTCCCATGGCCAAAGAGTCACTGAGTCATTGTGCCAACTACCTTTACTGAGTCCCCTTCCTCCTCTTTCAATGATCTCTCCAACCTTATCAACAAGATCTCTGCTTCATTTGGAAGGATGGGGCAGGTTCTTGCCTGAATACGGCTTACCTGCTCCCTACTTCCCCACCTGAACGTGTTTTTCTTCTACTCTCTTCGAGGCTCCACTCCAGTGTCACCTCAGCCTTCAGTCTTTAAGCCTTGGAGCTCCCAGAGCACTCCCTGGGGAAACACTAGACTGTGAATCTACAGAGCCCTAAGACCACATCCCAGTCATGACCCTCGCCAGCTGGGTGACCTAGGACAAGTCACTGCATCTGAGCACAGTACCTCGTGGGACTGAGGCTAACGCCTAAAACCAAATTATGTCATAACCAAGCAGAAGATGGTTATGACATAATGTGTGTTTATAAACCTTCAAGTGACATAGGAATGGGTGCTAGTATTTATATTTGCCATTTGGACCTTAGCACATTCTGCCCAGGATTATCGTCTTTTGGGGGAAGATTCCCTCCTTTCACAACTCCAAGAAAGCCAGAAACCTAGTTTTATACTTTGTATCTCAGGTTGTGCCCTACATACAGAAAGCACTCAGTAGTTAGCAAAGATGATGGTAATACTTGGTGGTGAGAGCAACAGACTTGGAGACAGAAGATGAACTCCAATTCCACCTACATTCTAAAGCAAGTCAAAACCTTTGCCCCAAGTCTCGGTTTCCTCATCTGTATAAATGGAGATAATTCTCACAGTACACAGCTAGATGGCACAGTGGATAGAGCACTGGACCTGGAATCAGAAAGACCTGGGTTCAAATCCAGCTTCAGACATTTACCAGCTGTGTGACCCTTGGCAAGTTATCAATGTCTCTCAGTCTCATCTATAAAATAGGGATGATAACAGCATCTGCTTTGGATGTTGAGAGGATCCAATGAGATATTATTTTTGAAGTACTTTAGCACTATATAAATGTTATTATTATTATTATTATTATTATTATTATTACATATTTTATGGGGTTGTTGTAAAGTTCAAATGAGAAGATGGCCATAAAGGTTATGGCAATGAGAATGGCTTTTTGGACATGGCCTAAGGCCTGTAGTCTCTACAGAGCTGCTGGGGAAGAGTTCTTTATCCACCCATCTACTCATCACTCCAGTGCTAATAACACTTACCTTCCTTCCAAAAGAGGAACAACAAGTCTGAATTTTGTGCACACATTTCTTGTGGCAGGTCATCTTGCAAACTAGAAAAAACAGGGAGTAAGAGTTAAGAGTGGTTACATCCGTTCAGACTTTGGCTCTTCTAATGATCTTTTAAAACTATTACTAGCTGATTTATACAATCAGAATCGTGTGTGTGTGTGTGTGTGTGTGTGTATGTGTAGAAAGGGAACAGGGTTCAGGGCCAGAATTGCATTCCCAAACCTTAGAATTTAGCAAGTAGTGGGTTCAAGTCTCAACTTTGCTGATGACTCATTATATATGGTTTTGGTCACATGACCTCACATATGAGTCTATCTTGTCATCTGGAAAGTGATGGTGTAGTCTGCATGATTTCTATCATATCTTCAAGAGCTAATAAATAGTTGATGATTCTGATGACTCACAAAATAAGCAAAAAGGTGGTTTCTTTCCTGCCAAACAGCAAAGAGAAAGAATGCTTTACTGGTTTTAGAATTATTAATATTATTCCAGTGTTTCAAAAAGCAATCCTCTTCCTAACCAGAAGTCAATGTGCCACACACAAGTGCCCTCCACCTCCATGGGGAAGCATGGTGCAGTACACACCAAGTTCAGGGATTTGGGGTAATTCAGGATGATACGCTGCTACTGTGTCATCCAACAAAGGCAGTGGTTGTTTTCAAGATGTGGTCTTTATTTCTTCTCCTGTTTGTAATTTTTTACCAATGCCTTTTATTTTTACATCATCTTCATTTCCAAATACAGTCACCTCCCCCCAACCCAAGGCAGCCCTTCATTGTAAAAAATACAAAAAAGGAGAAAAAGGTATTTCAGCAAAACTAACCAACATATGAACTGAGTCTCATACATGTAATGTTCCACAACCATAATGTTCCTCCCACTTCTGCAAAGAATGGAGAAAGGTATGTTCTCTGATCTCTTTGGGACCAAGTCTGCTCATTGGAATTACAGAGTTCAGTTTTTATTTCTTTCTTTTCCATTGACATGACTATCAATGGAAATGTCCATTGTGCATGTTGTTTTTTTCTTAGTATTGCCTACTTTACTGCATCCCAAGTATTTTCATGCTTCTCTTGACTCTTCATATCCACTACTTTTTACAATGCAGACATATTCCATTGCGTTCATTTACCAAAATTTGTCACACTATCCCCTAATCAATGGGCATCTACTTGGTTTCCCAGTTTTTTCTTACCACAAAAAGCTGCTATGAATATTCTGGCATATATAGGACCTTCAGGGGTATGTGGTTCTGCCTTTGACCTCCCTGAGGTACATCAATAGCTCTGTGGATCTTTAGACTTTTTGGTCATAATTCTAAATTGCTTTTCTAAAATGGTCAGACCAATTCACAGCTTCATTAACAGTGTATTTATTATTAGTGTTCTTGTCTTTCCATCATTTGTCATCTTTGCCAGTTTGCTGCTGTGATGTAAAACTTTTAGAGTTGTTTTGATTTCATTTATCTTATTATTATTAATTCTTTGGAGAGATCTATTTACTAAGTCAGTGTTAGTGAAAATAATTCTTCATACTTATGAAATCATATGAAATATTTAGATGGGAGGCAGGATGATATAGCAAAACAACTCTGGAAATCTTGAGCTCTCAACCATCACTAATTAGTGTATGATCTGGGCAAATCACTCAATCTCTCTGTTACTCAAATTCCTATATAGAAACTTTGGAAAGCATTAAACACTTTACAAAGACAAGCTCTCTTTCCAATCTAATCTCATGCTGCTCCCTCTCATGTATTATTCTGGGCTCCAGCCAAACTGGATTACTCATGGTCTCTCACACACATTTTGCATTTTCCCAGCTCCATAAATTTGCTGAGGGAAGTGCTCTCCTCCTCTCTCTACCTCTTTTCATCCTACCTATTTTCAAGGACCACTTCCTACATAAAGCTCTCTCTCAGTTCCCCAGTCAACAGTGATAGATTTTCATGATCCTCACATGAGCCTCTATGGACTTATTCTAATCTACATCATATTTATTTGGGTATATGTCTTATCTCCCTTACTAGACTGAGCTCCTTGAGGGCAGAAGCTGTGGTTTATCTTTGTATCTCCCTTAGTGTCTGGCACAGCACTCTGTAGGTAGGAGGCCCAAGGCACTCATCAAGGAAAACAAGCAAATAAACATTTGCTGAATAAATAGATCAGTATGATTTAACCAGCAAGGATAAAAACACCAAGAGAAAACCCACAGCAGTCTGGGCAGTAGTAAATCTGCCCAATTACCAACATTGTTTGCAGAGTTCACCTAAAGGTCTGTGGAACCACGGGACTCATCAATACAGAGCAGCTTCAACCTTGCTGCTTTACGGCTGTGCTGCCTGTGACTCACCGTTGCAAAGAAGTGCTTTATCCATGGGCCAGATGTAGGACAGGCAATGCTCGCAGGACTGGGGGATGCTCACTTGGTAGCTTGCAAACACATGCCCATTGTGCTCCTGGATCTGAAACAGCAGCGGGCCAGATCAGAAGGCAACACTTGCCTACACCTCCAACCCCCAACGTTAGGAAAAAAGTCAATGAAGAAAATGGCATTCCAACACCATGACTTCCTTCCATACAAGTCTTCCCAAGAGAAGTAAAGTGGAGAATTTCCAGAATTTGTGCTTTATGACTACCTCTGGGCATTGTCAACATTTAAAAAAATAGAAACTATTCTCACCAAGCCTCTCACAGAATAACCAAATCCAACTTAAAAAACACAACTATTTTTTACATCTGTGAGATGCCTAGATTACAGAAATAGAGCCTTTGGACAACCTTGGAAAGACTGGGTCATTTATAAAAACACATGTAATCATTTAATTTGAAAATTAAAAAATAAACTCACTGCACGATCTTGCTTTCTCTTTTTCTTCTGAGACTTGCTTAACTGTGAGGGAACAAAAAAGAGACAAAAAGCCCATTTTTGAGTCTCCAATAATTTTGCTGATTTACACTAGCTGAGTTCTCATCTGAAGTTGTTCCCAGAATCTCAAAGTTGGATGGGATCTTGGAGACCATTTGGTCCAACCCATACTGGAACAAGAGATCTGACAAGAGGTCATTCTCTTACATTTGCTTGAAAACCTTCAGGGAGGGGGAACCCATCATCTCCTGGGGCAGCCCCTCCACTTTGGAATGGCTCCCAATAGCTAGGAAGGTTTTCCCGATATCCAATCCAACCTAAATTTGTATCTTCGCAGCGACGCCCCCTATCCCCCAAACTGCTTCATGTTCAGACAGAACAGGTCTAATCTTTCCTCTATATGACAGCCTTTCATATACTGGAACCCGGTTATGATGTCCCTAACAATGACAGGTTCTAGAATTTTACCAAGATATGAAATCCAGTGGCCCAGAGCTAGTTGATTCTAGGATCTTCCTTTGTTGAAAATTGGAACACTAAATATCTGCCCCTTCTCCAGTTCTGTGGAACCTTTCCTATTTTCTAAGATCTTTCCAAGATTATCGAGTGGTGTGATAATCACACCAGCCAATTCCTTCAGTATCCTGGGACGTAGGTGATTTGGATCAGGATAGAGATTACCAGGGACAGCTGGGTGTCCTCTAACTGTCTCCTTACTTATCAATTCCCTATTAGCAATATTTCCTCCATCCTTTTCAGTCTCTTTCCCAGACTGAAAGGGAAAGCAATTCAGCAGTTCTTCCTCCCGTCATCCCTTATTACTATCTCACCCATGCTGGACAATGGTCCTATTCTTTCTCTGAATCTCTCTTTCTTCAGGATGGAGCTAAAAGAGTTCAAACACTTTTCTGTTGTCTTTAACAATTCTCACCAGTCTCACTTTCTACATAGCTTTAATTTATTCTTCTAGAACCCTGTCACTCTTTTATGTTCATTCTCCACAACCCGTTTTTTGCTTTTTTTTTTTAAATTGAAGCTCATTGATTAATTTCCTGAGCATCCATATCAGTCTCTTTAAACAATTCCCTCTTTTTCCTTGTCCCTGGAATTATTTCTTTGTACCTTCAGAATTTTAATTCTTGAAGCCTTTCCTCCTGGGCTGACTTCCCTTTAGGGACCTTCAGTTTCCAGGATTTTATCTATCCTTTTCCAGAGCACCCTGAAATCTGCTCAGACCAAATTCATCAACTTTCCTCTTTTTCTCTATCACAAATTTTAAGACAGAAATGGTATTCTCCCTTCCTTCTCTTCTGCAGTTTCTACCTCAGCAACCAAATGCTCCTCCCTGGTAAGAATCCAATTCAGAATCCAAGTCCCTACTTGGCTTTTTTTTTTTTAAACCACTTTTTTGAAGGATGAAATTTATCATTAAAGCAAGTCAAGAAATGATTAATTGCTTTGGGCAAAGAATGAGCTCCAGCAGACATCCAGATGACTGAAGCCTTCCATCACTACTACACCACAGCTGTGTCAGGCTTGTGATCTACTCCCCAGATTTCTTACCTACTGCCTCTTCTCCCCAGGTGGTCTATAGTATACCCCAATGATAATATTGCTTCTGAAGAACTTCACACAAATGCTCTCCATCATACTTGTCCCTCTCTGGTTCCCTAGATTTCCTCATGTGGGTCTATCTTAATATATACAATGCCACTCTCTCCCCATCCTTATTCTCTCTTTAAAGACAAACAAAACCAAAACCAAATCTATCCTGTTTTTTATGAATATGGATATACCATCTTCCAGAGCCACGTTCCAGTGACAAGCCTCATCCTACTAAGTCTCAGTGACAGTCAAAATTTGCCTCCTTGTGTAAGGTTTTACAGTTCGCCTTGCTTATTATCCACACTTTTGTACATTTGAGTTCAGATGTGAGATAATGGGTTTTGTTACCGGCTCCTTTCTTGGACTCTGTCTTCTATGCATTTCAGGTTGTCTTTACTGCTATTCCTCCTACACTGTAGCTGGTCTCTATGGTTTTTAGCTTCGTACACATACGCATCCAGTTTTATCCTTCCTTCTTCATTTACAGGTGAAGACTTTTAGATTAGATTTATAAGATGCTGGGCAAATACATTCTTATCAGCCCTCTTCACATACGATCCTAGCCAGGAGCCCGTCAATTCTTCTATTTAAGTTGTGATCTATAAATCTACATCTTAGACACCAGTTTCTTTACCGGATGTTCAATTCCCAAATCCCTCTCTTCTGAGGCTCTTTTTGTTGATGAAAACACCATATGTGCCCTGAAGAGTTCCAGTTTCTTGTCTAACACTTTGTCATCTTCAGAAACACTTTCTAGATTCCTTCTGACAGCAACATCTGTGCCCACGTGTAAGTGGCAGCAGTTTGTCTCCAGACTTTCTTTATGACATCGTGGACATTTATCCTAGGAAGACTTTTTCATTTTAATTATGAGATCATTTAGTTGCCAGCACCTGACTTTGCTGCGTAATGGGACGACATCTCGTGCCAGCAGCACCTTTGTGTTTACAACATTGTTCCTGGGAGGATAAGTAGTTGTTTTCTCCTCAGAGGGTACAGTTCTCTCCTCTTTGGGAAGACCCAAAGTAAGAACTGTTACTTAGTTCCACATGTTAGTCTTCCTTTTCTCCACCGTCTGACATTCCTCCAACATGCAAGCTCTTACCACAGGTCAAGATTCCTACTTGTTTATTCAGATTTACAGTCTATTTTCACAATGAAGCCATTACTTCTTTCTTTCTTTCTTTTTTTAAACAATGAACACTTCCTTTTATTTTTTTTCCTTTTTTAAATTTATTTTGATTTATCAACAATCACTTCCATATGCTTTTGAGTTCAAAATTTTTCTCCCCCTTCCTCCCCACGACCCTCCCCAAGATGGCGTACAATCTGATATAGGCAATTATATATACATTCCTATTAAACATATTTTCACATTACTGATGTTGTAAGTAAAAATTAGAACCAACAGGAGGAACCACCAGAAAGAGGAAACAAAACTCAACAGAAGAAAAAAAAATAGCAAATAGTATGCTTTGATCTGCATTCAAACTCCACAGTTTTTTCTTTGGATGTGGATAGCATTTTCCATCACGAGGCCTTTGGAGAAGTCTTAGATCCTTGTATTGCTGGGAAGGGCTAAGTCTATCAACGTTAGTCATCGCACAACATGGCTGTTATTGTGTACAACGTTCTCTTGGTTCTGCTCATTTCGCTCAGCATCAGACCATACAAGCCTTTCCAGGTTTTTCTGAAGTCTGCCTGCTCATCATTTCTTATAGCACAATAGTATTCCATTACATTCATATACCACAACTTGTTCAGCCATTCCCCAATTGATGGGCATCCTCTCAATTTCCAATTCTTTGCCACCACAAAAAGAGCTGCTATAAATATTTTTGTACATGTGGGTTGTTTTCCCATTTATATGATCTCTTTGGGATATAGCCCTAGAAGTGCTATTGCTGGGTCAAAGGGTATGCACATTTTTATAGCCCTTTGGGCAAAGTTCCAAATTGCTCTTCAAAATGGTTGGATCATTTCACAACTCCACCAACAATGCATTAGTGTTCCAATTTTCCCATATCTTCTCCAACATTTATCATTTTCTTGTTTTGTCATCTTGGCCAATCTGACAGGTGTGATGTGGTACCTCAGAGTTGTTTTGATTTGCATTTCTCTAATCAATAATGATTTAGAGCATTTTTTCATATGACTATAGATGACTTTTTAAATTTCTTTATCTGAGAACTGCCTGTTCATATCCCTTGACCATTTATCAATTGGGGAATGACTTGTATGTTTATAAATTTGACTTAATTCTCTATATATTTTAGAAATGAGGCCCTTTTCAGAGACACTGGTTGTAAAAATTCTTTCCCAATTTTCTACCTTCCTTCTAATCTTAGTTGCATTGGCTTTGTTTGTGCAAAAACCTCTCATTTTAATGTAATCAAAGTTATCCATTTTGTTTTTCATAATGTTCTCTATCTCCTGTTTGGTCATGAATTCTTCTGTTTTTCATAAATCTGATAGGTAAACTATTCCTTGCTCTCCCAGTCTGCTTACAGTATCAGCCTTTATATCTAAATCATGAACCCATTTTGACTTCATTTTGGTATATGGTATGAGATTTTGATCAATGCCTAGTTTCTGCCATATTCTTTTCCAGTTTTCCCAGCAGTTTTTTTCAAAGAGTGGGTTCTTATCCCAGAAGCTGCAGTCTTTGGGTTTAATCAAATAATAGATTACTATAGTCACTGACTACTGGGAACACTTCCTTTTAAAAAGGAACTTAGATAACATGGAGAGTAGAGAATCATTCTTTTTTTTTTTCTGGCTAGGCAATGGGGTTAAGTGACTTGCCCAGGGTCACACAGCTAGTAAGTGTTATGTGTCCAAGGCTGGATTTGAACTCAGGTCTTCCTGAATCCAGGGCCAGTGCTCTATCTACTGCGCCACCTAGCTGCCCCAGGGAATCATTCTTTAAGCCCATTTATGCTCTGTTGTTGGATGAGACCAGCATGCATTTAGAGTATGGGTAACAGTCACCTGCATAGCAGAAATGTACCGCACACTGCTCCGTCTACTTGCTAGAAGTGAAATCCTTGATCTTGTGTGCTCTTTGCAGAAACGTTCTCTCCTTCCTCTCAAAACATGCTGAATATTGTATCATACTCATATAGGTGACTATAGGCCTTTTCAGGGCAGGGGCCATGTTATTCTTCACTACTGAATTTCCTGCGCTTAGCACAATGTCTTGCATGTAAGTGCTTAAGACATTTTATTCAATTGAATTTCTCTCCTCTAGGCCTCCACAGGTCCACTGATAATTCAACCCTGCAATATTTCATTCTTTGTAGGGAAGACTGGTTGGGGCCAAAAGCCAGCCTCACAAATTTGGTGTTTAAACATTTTTGGCATTTTAAATTTGCAAACATCAGATACCACCTATGTGAGACACTTATATAATCATTTGTATTAGAGTAGAGGTTAGAATTAGCAAAGGTGTGTTAGAATTCTTAAGTACTCAGATTTATGAATGAGTAGGAAAGATATGAAGGTTAGTTCAGGGACTGGGTTATGACACCTACCTTTGGTGGTTCAAAGTCATTTTTTGTGTATCCTCTGGTGAACTCATCAAGAAGGGACTGGAACAGATTCAGGACCAGGTTGGTATCCTTTTCTCCTCTTTCCATTGCCAGGTTGTTTACTACGATCTGGTAGTTTTCCATCAGATCTTTATAGCCAACATGAATTTTTCCATTCTAGTATTAAAAAGTCAAATTTAAAGTCTAAGTACACTAAGAAGTCCTGCATTTTCTATTATTCTATAACAAATGATCAGTTAAACCTAAGGTCATGGAAAGGAAAGTTTTAAGTGCTCCAGCATGACAGGTGCTTGAGAACCTCCCCAGACATGTGCTCTGCTCTCCCACCTCCACGCCTCCCACCTCCATGCCTCTAGAGGCACATGCTCTTCCTCACCCCTACACCCTCCCTTCTCTCTTGCCATAGCAGCGTAGCATTTAGAGCTGGCAGGGACCTCAGAGAGCATCTGGTCGGCCTCCTTCATTTTACACATGATGAAAGGTAGGTTTTTGACCCACAAGCAGAGCTGGGCCCTAAACCCAAGTACTTTAACTCAAGCCCAGTGCTCTTTCCATGACATCATGCTGCTGCTGCCCCACCTCTGCCTGCTGAAACTGTATTCATCCTTTATGGACACAGCTCAAATGCCATTCACTGGGGGAACCAATCCAGACCGCTGGGGGAAATGATCTCACCTTCCATTCACACTTTGCACCTTTCTTATGTTGTATCTTGCATTATCATTATTTGTGTGAATCTCATATCCCCTCTACAAGACGAAAGCTTGATGAGGGTAAGACTAGGTCTTCTTCACATCTGGATTCTCCTCTCCTATCCCCCTTATTGACAGCACATTCCTACATCAAGTTAAAGCTGGAGTTTATAAGAAAAAAAAAAATAACCTACCGGAGCAGAATACATAGTCTTTATATTGCTTCTAAACTTTTCTGTGGCTTCAATAAATAAACTTTCAATGGGAGTCTTCTGAGAGCGCAAGTCATTTATCTGACAGGCAAAAATATATAAAATAATTACTTTTTTCTTTTAAGACGATGACATATTTGGTTTATGTCAAATTTGTAACTTACTGGGGATAACAGGCTACAAAGCAAGTTAAATGGCCATGACAAGGATTTATTAGCTCAACTAAATAAAGCCTTCAATTGCGTTTGGTCATTTTCTCCCTGTCCACCCACTCACCTCCCCAGGTCCTAGGACTTAATGCTGTGAGTTCCTGCCCCAGAAAGAACAGTTCTTCAGTTTCTTAGCCTTTCAGATGACAATAAACAGTTACTAATTTAAGAGGCCCCTGCTATGGGAAGCCTCCTAGACAGTGTAGTACACTAGGAGAGGGAGAGTTCTAGGCCTCTTCAGCAAGTTTTCTCCCTGTCTCCCAATAGATGCCTTGCTTCCTTTCCAGGTAGAAGGGAAAGAAGACTTCACAAACACTATAAGCACTTGTGATTTCATCTGTGTGGGTCTTTCTCTACTGATGTGGATCCCAACAACCTGACATCTTAGTGGATGCTTAATGAGTTACTGTCAGGGTCAGGTGAGCTGAACTGGTCTTCAGGCGAGGACAAACACACCCTACTTCTTGTCTTTAGCCTGGAGGCTTTCTAGCCACAGGACTTGTCAGGGCTTGTGCTTTGCAAGTACAGTTTTCAAAGACTTAAGGACTTCACACATGGCCAGGAGAGGGTTCATGTTTTCCCCTACTGGACACAGCATACTAGAACCCTTCACAGCTGTTACCAAAGTCCTTTGCTTGAACATCTCACCTTGTTCAAAAGGAACTCATCAAGGTATTTCAGTTCGTTGGCATTTGTTATTTTCCGGAACACAGACTCTCTCCACTTCTCAGACACTGTTGTGATTTTACCAATCTTAATGTTACGATTCTTCTTTGTTTTGCTAGCTGGCTCTTTCACAGGGCGGTCTCGCTCTCCTGTGTGGGGGCGGTTCTGATGTCCAGATGGTGCTAGAAAAAGGAGCAATTCTACAGCATTAGATACATGGAACAGTACAGGGAGTCATTTACAAAACACAAGCCTAAATTGTAATCCATCAAGCTTCTAAAATACCACTTTAGATAGTTTAATGGTGCACACAAGGACTGTGATTTTGAAATCACTGTGACATCTAAAAAAATAGATTTTTTTTGTATGTCTTTTGTCTTTGGTTTCATCATTTCAACCCTTGCCCCTGTATGAACCCTTCCTTGTGACAAAGAAAAATACCTGAGCAAACGCACATGTTATAATGACTCCACCTAACAATAATAGCCAATATTTATATAACATTTTGATTTGCAAAACATTTTACATCTGTTATTTCATGTGATCTTCCCAACGATGTATTCTGTCCTCAGAATCCCCTACCTCTCTGCCATGAGGGAAGAGGGAGAACCCTCTGCAGCTTTTCCCTATGCCTTGAAATTCCATTTCCATTTGTGATGTGCACATCACTCTCAGTATTTTGCTCACTGTTGGTTCACGTAAGCCTTTGCTTGTTTTCTCTTTAATCTCATATCGGTCATTTCTTGTTGCCCAGTAACACTCTCCTACATTCACTCTGTCATTCCCCAGACATGGTGACTTTGCTACAGAGTTGCTTCAGAGTTGAGCTGTATTCCTATTCTGAACAATCATTTATATAATCATGATGGAGACAACTCACTTTCTGAGGTTCTTTTCGATGCTATAGCTTCCAACATCGCAGGTACAGGAGCGGCAGTCTCCATTTCCTCTGTTCCCTCTATGTTGTACTTCTTATCTTTATTTTTAGGCATGAAAAGCCATTTAAATGTGGATCTAAAGGAAGAAGTGTAGGTAAATCTGCTTAATTGTGTGGAATTTAAGTCATGTTTAGATTTTTTTAGGCCTTAATGAGATGGTATAAAATGAAAAGAGGAGGACATATGGCTGTTTTACTACCAATAATATATTAATATCTTAATCAATATATACAGATTTCCCATGCCCCCAGTAATCTATCATACAAGTGGCTGGTTCTTTTGGTAATGAACCTTGTTGAAAATTTCCCTATAATTATGTAAGAATCTCTGAGAACTTCTAAAAAAAATCTTCAAAAAAAAGAAAAGAAAAAAGAAAAATTATTGTTCTTATATAAATTTCCTTTTTGCTAATTTTCCTCCAAGAAGATATATTTTTCATTTTCTCTAGATGAAGTGGGGTTTTTGAATATAGCATGAAACCATGGTGGACTAAGAGACAGCATGATTTAAGAATACAAGACTAAGAATGAGGATCTGGGATGAATTCCTGGCTTGATAACTTACAACTTGTGTGACTTTGGACAATTCAACTAACCCTTTCGAGTCTATTTCTTCCTGTCAAATGGTGACAATACTTCTCCTACTACCTATCTCACAGGGTGGAAACAATGTTTTTTCAACTGCAAAAGTACTAAATAAACTGAATTGCTTAGGCTGTTGGTTAGATGGCAGCTGCTTGCTGTCTTCAATTGGCTTGAGGGCTCTCACTGTACCGTACTAACCTCTAACCACTACCCCACCACGCCCTCCCCAAGCCTTGTGCTTGCTCTTAGGCCTTTCTTAACCTCTCAATCCCTTACTCAAAACTGACCCATCTCATATCCCAGTAGCTTAGATTCCTGGTGGTTCTCTGCTTTAACAGAACACAAGAAGCTCTAGCTTCCTAACTTCACTGTTGAGTTTGAGGCTCTCTCATCCCCCCCAGCCTAGCTCAAAACCTGTTATTTCTCTTTTCTCATGTCCCGTTCCTGCCAAGCTAACTCTCCATAGTATTTCATTCCTTCCAAGAAAATGCTGTTATTCATTTTTTCATCTTCAGCCTCTCGCTTTCCACCGGCTCCTCTGTATCTCGTCTCCCCCTTCCTAACAGTATCTGTTCTAGATGCTGCTAACTGCCAGGTTATCATCTGTGGCCACTATCCTTTCGCTATCAAAATTCTAGAGAGTAGCATACACTAGTTGACTCTACCTCCTCACCACCTGCACTTTCTTAAAAGTCTGCAATCTTCTGTAATCGACAAACCAATGGGCTTTTCTTAGTTCTCCTGAATTTTCTGTATCATTTGACACTGCTGATCCCACCCACCTCCCTCAGAATGTGCTGCCCTTTTTTCCTTGTTCTCCTCATCTTTCTGACCACTCCTTCTTGGTCTCTTTTGCTGGTTTCTCTTCCTCCTCCCACCCAGTAAATGTGGGAATCCCCTAATGCTGTCAGCCCTTTTCATTTCTCTTTCTACAAGTTCTCCCTCAATAATCTTATCCATTTTAATTATCACCTCTATGCAGTTGATTTTCAACTCTTTACCTTCTTCTCCAAGCTTTCCCCAGAGCCACAATCTCAAACTCATTCAGTCCAGCGGTTTGCTAATATGCCCACCTGGATGGGCTTGGTACCACAATCAAACTTTACATGTGTAAAAAGGAATTCAGTCTTTGCCCTAGGAAGCCTGACCCTCCTCTTACTATTCCTATTTCTGCTGAAGGCACATTATTTTCCTCATCAGCTAGGCCTCAAAGTTTGGGTTCATTCCCCATATCCAACTGGTTGTCAAATTTTGTTGTTCCATCCTTGTGACATTCCTTGTATTGACCCTGTCCTTTCCCCTTAGACTCCTATCTCCTGTCTTATCTTTTCATCTGGACTACAGTAACAACTTAATGTTCAGCTGCTTGCTCTGGAATGTGGGTTCTATCTCCCTTTTCCAATTCACCCCACACTCTTTTGCGTCCTCTATTCTAGCTGAAGAGGCCAGAAAGGATGGGGTTCAGTTCCTCCTTTGGACCTCAAATGGCTGAGTGACCCTGAGCAAGTGAGTCAGCCTCTTGGGGTTCCAGACCACCCTCCCAGAGCCGGTGCTGCCCTGCATGGGCAGAGGAAGCCTCTCCCTGGGAGTCCTCTACACCCATGAACTCACAGACAGGCCTGGTCCCCTCCTCAAGGCTCTAACTGGCAGACCCAGTGTGGCCCTATGTGGGCAGAGAAGCACTTCTCCCCTGGGAGCTCCCCACCACCAGTGGAGTTACAGGCCCAGGCACCATCTCCTCCTGCTCTCTTTTACCTCCATGCCTTTGTGTACAACATCCTGCCTTCATCCGAACTACTGCTGGCCCTTTGTCTTCCTCCTCCCATTCCTCTCACACCCATTCCAGATCAGCATGCTCATCTCCTTTTAACACAGAATAATCATGTGTACACACGCCTCAACCTGCTACTAGATGAAGACAGCACAGAACCGTGGCAGAAGTGCTGAAGGTGAAGCCAGCAGACCTCTGGGTTCAAATTCTGGCTGTGAGCCTCGGTGTTCTTGTACTGTAGAGTTACTTAAGAGGAAAATGCTTTATAAACTTTAAAGTGCACTACGGAAACATGAGTTAGTGTTCTCATCACTGTCAGCTCCCTGAAGGTGGAGCCTTCCCTCTTTTTCATCTTGGCAACCCAAGGCATAACCCCTTGGCAGTGTGGGATCAGACAAAGTGAACTGGCCTCAGAATCACGAAGACCTGGGCATGAATGGTCAGATCCTTCAGAACAGTTTCCCCCTAGAAAGTCACTAAATTTCTCAGAGGGTGAGTTTCCTCTTCTGTAAGGTGGAGATTATAACAGAATCTACTTTAAAAGGTTACCCTGAGGATCAAACAAGATGATGATTGTAAAGTGTTTGGCACACCTTACAGAGCTACCTACGTGTAAGCTAAAATGAATGAAGATCTGTCGACTTGAACAGGGTTAACATGTCTATTTTAATAGGAACCTTAACTCAAAGGAGCAATTCTCATCACAAGGATGTTGGGTCCTGCAGCAGGCGGAGTGGGGAGATATGCCAAGACCCCCAGCTACGCCAAGGTTTGCCCTCTCCTTTGGCGAACACAAGCACGTACTTGGAGTCAGCCTGCTGGCTTGCGGACAGGCCGTCGCTGTGGGCAGACAATTCCCCAGGCTTCTTCCTCTGTATGGTATGCTTTTTGGAGAGCCTGCTGCCATCCACCCCTTCTGTAGACACCTGCAGCAGATAAAGAGGAATGTCAGTGGGAGGTTAAGCACCTCAATAGATAGACTTAACCTCCTTTTTTACTAGATCATTCTAGACTCTAAAGAATCATCATTCACTTGAAAGACAATGTCATTTACACTTAAAATTTTTTTTTTTTTGGTGGGGGCAAGGTGACAGTCTATATAGCCTTAGAAAGGATGGGCAACCTATGACTAGTGAAACAACTGCAGTGTTGTCAGGAAATCATCGGAGAACAGAATTATAACTTTTAATGATACACATGAATATCCTACCTGATTCTTGGTAGATGAAGGAACTAGTTTATCAACATCACTCAATGATAAAGAAAATCCTCGATCCCTGCAAGACCACAAAAGGGCAACTGTTATGAAACTGATTTAAGAGTACTTATCTCTCTTGTTGTTCAGTCATTGCAGTTGTGTTTGATTCTCCGTGACCCCATTTGAGGTTTTCTTGGCAAAGACACTGTCTTTTCCTTCTCCAGCTCATCTTATAGATGAGGAAACTGAGGCAAACAGGGTTAAATGGCTTGCCTAGGATCACACAGCTAATAAGTGTCTGAGGCCAGATGTGAACTTAGGAAGATGAGTCTTCCTGACTCCAGGCCTGGCACTCCATGCACTGCACCACTTATCTGACCCTATCTGCTCTAGAAGAAAATTATCATGCTTGTTCCTGGGATGAGAAATCCTTGCCCAGTAAGATCTACAGTGGAAAAAACAGTGGATGTGGAATCAAGAGGAATGAGTTTGGATGTGACCTGGCGCTGCTACTTATAGGCTGTGTGATCTCTCTGAGCCTCAATTTCCTTATCTATAAAGTGGAGATGATAACTGTTATACTACCTAGTTCAGACAGATGCTATGAGGATCCAATGAGGTAATGTATGTAAACTGCTTTGAAAATCATAAAGCATTACAGCTAAACATAAGCTCTTCATATTACTGTGAGCTCCGTGAGAACAGGGGCTGCTTTTTGCTTTTCTTTGCATCCCCAGCGGTTAGCACTGTGCACAGCACACAGTGGGCACTTAATAAATGCTAGTCAATTGATTTAAATACTCTAGAATCTATGACTTCATCTGTGTGATACTCCTTCCACTGAGGTTGATTACAACCTCCCTGTGCTTCAGTAGACACTTTCACGAGTTCATCATAGGGTGTCCACCCCTCTGGTGGTGAGCCTCCCAAAGCTCAGGTAGGCCGGACTTAGGTCAAAGACACATGCACACACACACTTCTGGGCTGGGCCTGTACATGAAGCCATTTCAGATCAGCCAGAAATGCCTAAGTTTGCTTTCTTCTGACTTGGTCTTTGAGAACCCAGAGTTGTCACTAGGCTGCCACGAAGCAGCAGAGGATGACTTGAGTGGATTCTTATCCTGATCTCCTCTGTAGCCTAGCAGTGTCTAACTGTGTGTCCTGAGAAGAGAGGCAGGCAAGGCAGACACCAGGAAGCTCACCTGTGAATGACAGTCAGATAGTGGAGGAGTTACTTTGGGGAAGTGTTGCTATTTAAGATCTGGAGGGCCTCATCTCTCTCCTGCGGATGTCCCCTGGCAGCTGGCTACCCTGTTCCAGGTTTTTGATCCTGAATTACAGCACATCCTTCTTTCTCCTAGTCTTCCTGACTCTGACCTAGGCTTCCCAAGCCAGACTCCACTCTCGTGGAATTTTGACCAGGCTCTGAGAACTTGATTTTGAGCTTCCATATTGCTGAGCCAATTTTCTTATTCTCAGTTTCCAAATATAGATCTCTATTTTTCACTTTGTTCTGGTAATATCACTTCATCTTCTCACTGTTCCCTTTGCTTTCTTTGACTGTTTAACTGGACTGGTGACTCTTGGAGAGTACAGACTGTGCCTGAAGATTCTGTATCCTTCATTACACTTCACACTGAACCCTAGTCATGGTAAAGAATGAATATTTCTTTACTGAATAAACAATTGCCTTGGCATCACTGACCTTAGACTATACTGTTCGGTCCTTCACCTTTCCTGACATATTCTATGGCCTCCTGGAGGATTAGTAAAACTGAACTTTAATTTTCTGGTCATGACGTCTGCTCAGCCGCTCTGTCATGACATGCTGTCTACCTCCAAATTTAAACCTCTTACCTCTCATTGCAGGCCCTCCACAATCTCTTACAACTCTCTCTTTTGAATCTCACTACAAACAGTACATCCTCACCGTCCCTGGGTGTGGCCTGAGGGTCCTGGCCTCTGTACTTCTGCAGTGGAAGGGATAGTTAAGTAAGTGGTAGAGGGCATGTGTCCAAGTTCCAGTTCTGCCCTTTACTGCCCGTGTAGCCTGGGAACAGTTTACCACATCACTTGGGGCCTTACATTTTCTCATCTGTAAAGTGAAGGGGTGGATCAGAGGACCTCTAAGGTCTCTCCCATGATCCCCAGCCTGGATTGCTCTCCCCTTGCATCTCTGCTGCTGGAACAATCTTGGCCTATTAATGTCCCCACTTCCATGAAGGCTTCTGATTCCCCTCCTGGTCCTGAAATTCACTAAGCATTTTGTTTGACCCTCTCACGCATTCTTGTGCATAACAGCTGTTTATGTATGTAACATGTCCTCTACTGAATGAGTGAAAAAGCCCTAATTACGTGCTAAGCACTAGGGACACAAAGAGAAAAAAAGTGCCAGTCCTCACAAATCCTCAGGGTTCAGCAGCACGGCAGATGGCAAGGCCCAGCCAGGGGTCTTGGGGTGACTGCAAATTCTACAAGGGCGGGAATTCTGCCTTATTTCTTCCATCTCCCCTAGCACGAGGGATGGTGCTCTTTACATTAGTAACTGAGTAATAAATGTCTGCTGAATTGAATTGGATGTGTCAAAGCTTCTGACCTTAACACATACACATCTTTATCAATTAAAAAAATCAGCTGATGTTGATGACTATTAATAAAACATGTGAAAAAAGTATTCTTACTCTCCCGGCGTTAGGGGTAACCCAACAGTCCTGTGTTTCTCACTCAGGTCCAGGGACTGGCTCAGCACTGTACCAGTGCCAGCAACCATCATTTTCTTTCCTCTCCATAACTCTACTACAGTCGACAATCGCTCACTATCAGTTTCTCGGTATCTCTGGATCTGGGAAGCAGAAGGACTCTCTGGCCCTTCATTTTTTTTCTGGCCAGTGCTTGGCTTGTGTTTATCTTGGGGTTGTTCAGCAGCATCTTTGGTAACCTTGTCATTCAGGGGAAGAGTAGACGGCCTTTCGAGATTGCTGTGACTCTGAGTTCCTTTTTGCTGCAGCTTCTGGTTTTCTCCCATTTTCTTAGATTCGATAGCCTGGTTACCTGAAAATTCCTGCTTTAATTCTGTTGATTTTTTCTCCGGTAAATTTTCCTTGCCCATTATTTCATCAAGAGAGTTTATGTCTGAAGGGACTTTCTCTTCTTTTTTACTTTGCAAAGTAACTTCTTGCCAATATTCATTTTGTTCCTGGACTATCTTTCCTGGAGGTTCTCTGATACTGCCATCTTCCTTGCAGGACAGTATGTGCTTATTCTGTAGATTGACATGTTCAAGACCCCTTTGCCGTCGTGATTCACGCTTTTCTCGGCTACTTGTGCTCTTTTCATGACTTTCTACGAGATTTTTCTGAGAAGGAAGAGTCTTCTCGGCGTTCTGGTTTTCTTTTTCTTTTTGTAAATTATGTTTTTCATCTTCTGCTCCATGTGTTTCATGCAGCTGATGCTCTGGAACAGAAACAGGAATCAATTCCATCTCTGATGTAACAGCTTCCTCCTTGGGCACCGGCTCCCTGTTCTCTGCCTCAGGGAATCCAGTGTCTTCCTTTTCTTTCTCCAGGGCCTGCTGCATTTCCCTTTTCTTTTCCTCAATCCTCTTCTTTTCTAAAATCATCTGGCCAAAGCTGTTAAAAAAAAAAGCAAGAGCTTGAGAAAGACATGTGAAGACAGTGGTCTCCGAAGACCTGACTCACTAGTGTTTGAACCAAAGTCTTTGAGTCACATAAATCTATACTATACAACTCCTGGCCACTTAAGATAAGGGTGGACATGGAGACATGCAGGCTGAGACCTCCTTCACCTTGGCTTTCAGCCACTCTGACCCATCCAACCTCATGTGCACAAGTCTAGGTAAGAAGGGCTAGAAACAAGGAAATCTTTTCACTCACAAAAGGGCCAATGATGTTAATAGCAAGAACAAAAATACAACTTCAAGTTCAGTGTCCTCCAGACTTTTTTTTAGACTACACACACACACACACACACACACACAATTTCAAGTTGTGTTCACCGTTGTCTCTGTAGGTATCCTCTGCCTGCAGTCTGAAGGAGAAGAGCGCTCCGCCTTAGCCTCTGGTAGGCCTTCCGTTGTTGGTATCCTCTCCAAACTGCCTGAATATAAACAGCTGCTTCAGCCTTTGCTAGAGTCCTCCTAACTCGGTAAGAACGCCAAAAAGCCTAAAAAATATATTAAAAAAATTTAAGTAGTGAGAGGTAACAAGTGGCTTGGCCTGGATCAGACCTGTAACAAGCATACCAATTGCTTATCCTGAAAGGAACAGACCTGAATGGTGATGGCTGCTTGTTTCACTTGGAGGAAATGTCTTCTTTCTAAGACCATTCGGGTCCAGCTCTGGAGGAGAATGATTTTCCGAATCACTTCTTTGTGAAGTGTCTCCTGGAGGATCTGCCGCTCAGTTTCCTTCATGAACACCTAATCCAAAAGAGAAGGTTTAAACTGAGATTTTTCTCTTGAAATGTCTACCTTTCCTTAAGTTTACAGAGGCGTTTTCCTGTATAGGCAAGACCTAGGGTTAGAAGGCAGTACATTCAAGTTAACTGGAGAGAAATTTAAAGCCAAATCTCCATCTTAATTTCAATAAACCATACCCTACACAGGGCAGGTATGCAAAAGTGATTAACGGGGCACTGGGTAAAGCCAAATGGCAAGTTGAAGATATCATCAGTCTGACTATATTAAAAATAAGACAGCAAATGAGATGAGTACTGAGTAAATATTCTAAATACTCATTCCTTTCAAAGAAATCCCCAAACAAAAAAAAGATAAAATTACAAGTCAAGGATAGTTTTTTGAAGGACAAAATAAAAATGCTTTCATCCTAAGGGACTAAGTTTCTAACCAAAAGTTAATTTTACAATAAATTTGCACCTTTGACCTGACTCCTGACATTTCTGGGAATAAATGTGCCCTAGACTCCTGGAAGAAAAGGAGTTCATAAATTCAAAGTAAAAGAGAGAAAAGCCCTTGGTTTCACAAACAGTCAGAAAATATTGAACAGACCTTAGTTTTTCCTATTTGGTAGTTTTTCTTGTCCATGCCCATCTTCTCTAGCAGAGCAGATATCAACTCCTTTGAAGGTTTGGCATTTTTGGGTAATAACACTTGGAACTGATCTGTGAAATCCTAAGTAATTTAGGTCAAGAAAAATAATTACTTGAGTTTTTGCATCAATGGAAAAGTGCACAAGTAAATAATTCCTTTATCTTTATATCCAGGTTTAGGGCCATTTGTAGACACTATCATTTTGCTCTACAAGAAAGTTAAGAAAAATCTCATTTTTGGGGTTAGTGTCTGAGGTATTTAGAAGATACAGAACTACTCATATCATTAAAATATTTTTTCATACAAAAGATCTGTTTTAAGATCACATTGTAACTATGTGCCACTTGAATTAAAAGCAGCTTATGCCACTGTACTTCTTTTTTTACTATTCCTGCGTTAGTCTTACTGAGTATTTTTCAAAACCTTTTCCATTTAGGAACTGATTCCATTTTCCCAGGTGTGAAAAGGTTTGGTAGTGCATCTCATTTTAGAGATGAGGAAGCTAAGGCACATAATGGTTAAGTGAATCTTCAGGTCAGACTAACACTAGTAGAGCCAGTCCTGGAATCCACACCTACTGATTGCTCAAGACTAGTTTTCCTTCAATAAGATCATGCATATGTTTTGCTAGAATGTGATGCAGTGAATTACCAACTTGAAAGGAAAAATGCATATTCTTGTCCCTGAAGTGTAACTCACACTTTAAACCACTGTCCCAATATATAAAAACTTAAATCCAAATTGTTGTTTTAGAAAAACTAGCTGTGTTGTAGAAGGAGAGAGTGTGAACTCTCGGATCAGAGGTGCTAATATCAAATCCCACACTCCTATAAGACCTTAGGAAAGTCATTTTGCTTCTCTTGGACTAGGTTTCCTCCTCTTTAAAGTAAGAGGGCTAGACCAGATGATGTTCCAGCACTGAATCTCTAGGATTCAAATGCTGTTCAAGGACAGAGACCTTAGAACTAATAATTTAGTGGGTTAAATAAGCAGTTTTTGTTTACATGTATAAGTTAATAAATGATGAAATAAAAACACTATTGCAGGGGCAGCTAGGTGGCGCAGTGGATAGAGCACCGGCCCTGGATTCAGGAGGACCTGAGTTCAAATCCGGCCTCAGACACATAACACTTACTAGCTGTGTGACCCTGGGCAAGTCACTTAACCCCATTGCCTAGCACCCTCCCCCCAGAAAAAACAACCACTATTGCTGGGGCAGCTAGGTGGCACAGTGGATAGAGCTCCAGTTTTGGAGTCAAGAGGACCTCAATTCAAATCCAGCCTCAGACATTTGACACTAGCTGTGTGAACCTGGGCAAATCACTTAACCCCAATTGCCTCACCAAAAAAGCAAAAAAACAAAACAAAACAAAAAAACCCAAACCAAAATAATCCCCCCAAAACAACAACCCACTATTGCAAAGTGCCAAGATACATTTTTAAAGTCAATGCTTCTCACAGTGAAACAAAGGAAGTTGGCAGAGTACAGTGATCATGTGCATAAGAACACTGGGAATCAGAAGACCTGCGTTCTAATCGCAGTTCTGCCACTAACTCGTGAGACCTGAAGCAGGTTGCACCAGCTGTCTGGGCCTCAGACCCCTCCCCTGTAAACTGACAGAGTTGGACTAAATGACCTCTAAGGTTCCCTCCAGCTATAAAAGTCTTTGACTATGATAACTTCCTGTAAATAATCACTGGATTTGTTCAATATCGAAGCCACGACAAGTAAAGGTAAGGTAAGACTCCTTAACCTTTAAGTATGCCCACTCTATTGTTTGTGTGCAGTAAATGCCCCTCAATTGGTAAAAAGAACTAAGTTTGCAAACGCTCAGTGTGGCAGGTGTATTTAAATACCTGAAAGGTAGACTTGGCACTGTAACCTGATCTCCGGATGCGTACGGTTTCTAACATTCCAGTGTACCTTAACTGCTGCAGAACCAGTTCTTCATCAAAGCAGAGCTCTTTCTGGAAAGAACACAGACTACAACTCAGAAGAATGCAGGATGTCTGAACTTCACCAATCTGGTCAAAAGTATGTTTCTCACATTAGTTTCCTCTAATTCCTGACATTAGTTTTAGATTTAATAGAAAAAATGAGGCATATACTATATAAACATACCTAATTTTGATAATTATAGGACTATTCTGCTTATCCTCCAGGTATCACTGAGAGGGGCAGCCACTTGTCACTATTCAATTAAATTATTTTACCTTTATGATCATTTTTTAAGCAGCAAGAGTTTTGGGAGGAGGGCAATGGAAGGGTGGAGAAAAGCTTAGAACAAATAAATTCCAGGAATAAAATTTCAAAAACACCCCTTTAACTTGGAAAAAAGTGACTAATGGGTAATTTAACAAGCATCTTCAAGCAAAGTCTTGGTCAATTCTCCATTCCTAAGTAGGCAAAAAGCAAGAAGAAAGGGGCATAACTGGCACTTAGACAGTCAAAGGAATATTTGAAGATGTTGACCCTTGGAATAGGTTTTAGTGCGGCAAGTTATATAATCTTCCTGACTGGAAATCCTTACAAACAGATCAGATGGTTTCGACTCTGACTAGCCTAGAAAGGAGAGGGCTTTACCAGCTGACCTTGAGCTTCCTTCTGGCAACCTAATTTTATAAGCATATATCCCATATACAGGTTTCCATTAAATATTTTTTATTTGATTCTGTCTACGACTATACCCTGGGTATGGAACTGGCAATTTTCCCACAAGCTGCTGTAACAGGTGTATAAAAACTTTACTTTTAACAGTGACAGGCGTGTAATGACAGGAGGCTATCTCTATTTCTGATCAAGGATATCCCTACATGAGGAATGTTGGGAAGCTTTTACCTACCTTCTCAGCATTGGAGCGAATACATCGAATGAAGAAAGGCTCAGCTTTACTCAATGTCTCCAACAACTTATTAAGGGAGGCCTGAGGGGGAAAAAGTTAATGTCTGTCATTCAGAAAATTTTTTAGAAAAGTGGAAATCTAATTAGACAATAATTCCACAGATCTCTGGTATCCTTTCCTCTTTCAAAAGCAAAAAAGGAGAGAAGAAGTAAGGGAAGGGAGGAGAGAGAGAGAGAGACAGACAGACGGTTACTTCCCACCCCCCCCACTCCCTTCTTGGAACTCCACATCAGTCTCTAAGCTTTGCTATAGCCTCTTGATTTGATTACTGACTTCAGATATCCACGCTGGTCTGAATATAGGTCATGTTTTTTTCCCTAAATTTGGTTTGTATAAAACCTAAATGTGACCTATAATTCTGTTAGTGGGAAGAATAGAAAGAAGAGGATGACAATGAAAAGCGATGAAGAAAACATGATAGGCAGTGAGGTGGTGCAGTAGATAGAGCACTGGGCCTGGAGTCAGGAAGAACTGGGTTCAAATCTGACCTCAGACACGATTTGTGAGATCCTGAGCAAGTCACTTGACCTCTGTTTGCCTGTTTCCTCAGCTGTAAAATGGAGATAATAACAGTACCTAACTCCCAGGGCTGTTGTGAGGATCAAATGAAATATTTCTAAAGCATGTAGCAGTGACTGGCATGTAATAGGTGCTATATAAATGCTATTAGCTATTATGAGCAAGTGAGCAAGACATTTTTATTTAGAATACTTGAAGTCCTTTCACTGTAATTTTTCTTATGTGTTAATTTCATATAACTTTTTAAAATCCCCTACAAATAGCTGGCTTACTGTAATAGTTAAAATTTTGAAATCTTTACATCAGGCAAGGACCCAATTGATAACTACACCAAAAACAGACCATCTTCTACGCTGCCAAAAACATAACAAAAGTGTCTTTTACATTTTGCTCAGCACGGAGCAATATAAAGGTAGATTCAGTCCATGATTTATCTTGATTGCTCTAGTATGGAGTCAATCCAAACTTCTTTAGAGACACTGGCATCTCAGGTGGAAGAGGATGGAAAAGTCTCATAAAGTTACAGTTTAACCAAGCTACACAGTTGGGGTACTAATCATGCTGATATGGGCAACAAGCCTCTTCCACACGCCTTTGAAGCCGTGCCTCTGGAATAAATGAAGAAAGGTCTATTAAGTGCTAACTAGGTTGCCGGGCATTGGGCCAACTACAGGGATACAATTACAAGCGAGAAAGAAGTTCCTGCCCTTCAGGAACTTACATTCTGCTGAGGGAAGATACCCAGTAGAGCTCTGCAGAGCTGGAAAGTCAGGGGTTGGGAAGGGAGAGTTACACTGAAGGTCAAAGCTGCAGGCAGTATGTCATGGAGAGAGCTGCCAAGGGGCGAACTAGGCCAAAGACCAGGACTAGAAAGCATTGCCAATCAGAGCCCAGGGTCTTAGAGTGGGAGTCCAAGGTCTAGGCCGAGGCAGAGCAAGAGACTGGGATTGCAGATGCCTGGTGTGAAGGCAGCAGGACTTATGAAGCAGGGCTGCCCTTTTCATCCTTCCCAACTGCTACCATCAAATCAGCAGAGTGAGAGACAATCACACAAAGACCCTAGCTACTGAGCCCACCACAAATGCTGCAAACAGCTGTTCTTTCTTTGATGGTCAATTGTAGGCTTGGGAACAACATCCCTGTAAAGCATTTCTCCAGCAAGTTTGAAACAAGCCAACATTACCGCATTACATGTTATCCGTCTCATTCATAAAAGAGCAACTTCTTTGTCAAATGCATTTAGGCTTTCTTTTTAAAAAAATTTTGGAGCAGCTTTCCTCTGAATGCTGGCATAGCTTGACTGGGTTTGAATTTTAACTTCAGTAGCTTTCACAAAGCTAGAGAAATAGCAGCAAACAATTCTGTACTGTCAGAGGCAGCCATGCAAAGATACATACGGAGATAACTTCATCTCTAATCATGTTGCTTATTAAGAATCTGCAGAGAGTAGCCAGTAAATCCTATCCTTCAGCCAGCCCACAAATGCCATCTTCTTTCTTTGAGTGACTAAGAATCCAGTAAAAGATGCCCTTGTTTCTGGAGGATCTGCCTGCATTTCGCTGAGTTCAAGGGATACATGACAGCAGTGTGAGGCTACAACTTAAGAACCCACCAAAGCCATGGGGCACATAAAACTTCCCAGGGCCAAATTCATAACTTTTTTTTTTCTCTCAGCAGAAGTTGCCTGGACACAGATAAGTAAGTGTGTTAAGATACTCCTGGAGGCTTTAGGGCAATCAATCAAAAGCATTTACTGAGCACCTACCATGTGCCACATACTGTGGAATCAAAGATACCTATGCTTTATGAAAGGGAAAAGAAAGGAAGGGAATAGACATTTATATAGTGCCAACTATGGGCCAGGTATAGTGAGAAGTGCTTCATAAATCTTATCTCATTTGATTCTCAAAACAATTTTGTGATGTAGATGCTATTATTATTCCCATTTTATAGTTGACACAGAGGTTAAGTCACTTGCTCAGGGTCACACAGCTAGATGACATCTGAGGCTGGATTTGAACTTTGGTTGCCATGTTGCAGGATGGATTGAAGAGAGAAGACTGGAGGCAGACAGCAATGAGAAAGGTAATGCAGTTGTTCAGGTGAAACTGTGATAAAGTGATAAAGGCCTACACTAGGGTGGCAGTTAGCGAAAAGTGGGTATAAAGTCTTTAGAACTAACCTGGAGAGCTTTAAGGCGCCCCCCCCCCCCATTCTGGATGATCTGGATGATCCTCTGCTGCAGCTAGTCCAGCTGCCCCCTTATGGAACCTCCCAGCTCTAGGGGTCTATGACTTCAATGAATCTTCCAACAGATGAGTCTTATTGTTGCGCGCGCGCGCGCACGCGTGTGTGTGTGTGTGTGTGTGTGTGTGTGTGTGTGTGTGTGTGTGTATGTGTTTCTCCCAAGTTACAGCCAATATCACAATGAAGTTCCCCCAACACAAAAGCTGTACTCTTTCCTTCCATTTCCTGTTTGCCTCTCCCTTTCTACTTACCTGGAACTGGGCACTGATGCTAGGAGGCTTTTTCTTTTTATGCAAATGCAGAAGGGACTTGGTGGTGCGGTCATGGAGCGTCATGCTGACAATAAGCTTCAGAGACTTGGAATCCAGCAAATTCTAAAACAGAAATATGGAGAATGACATGCACTCATCACTCCCTGGACACTTGATCAGAAACATGTTATAACTAAAACTGAAAAAATTGGCTATAACAAATGAAACATCACTTTCATACACAAGTCTGACCTCATTACAATGAACATTAAGGATTATCTGAGTTCTCTGGTAAAGCCAGAGTTTGGCCTTAAGTTTGAGTATCACTAGAGCTTGTAAACTCGCAGCTGTATATTTGCTGCAATGAGATTTAACCTATATTCCATTCTGAATGGGGTCTTGACTTTGGAAGATCTTTTAAAAATTCTCTGGGATTTGTATTTAAATCCTTTTCTTTAGTCCAAAGGGTGAAATTATTTCCTTTCCTTTTAGACCGGTAGTACTCAAAGTGTGGTCCCCAAATGCATCAGGGTTCTTGAGATCTTTTTAAGGGGTTCATGAGGTCAAACTATTTTCATAATAATATTAAGATATTTTAATCTTTAATACTGCAAATATTAGTAGACACAACCCACAGACTCAAAAACCATTTTAAGAAAAGAGCCCAACAAAGGTCTTTTAATTTTTGGAGTGTAAAATGCTTCTAAGACCAAAAAGTTTGAGAGCCTCTCTTTAGATGATGAAGAAAAACAAGCAGTTGCTTCTTCTGTATCAAGATGTCCTGCTACTCACACACTGATAATTATATAGTTTCTAGAATACAGTGGTCCATTCCAAGTAAAAACAAAGCTTATTCTCTTTATAGTGATTTATCTCATTAAATCCTACTTATGTGATAGACTGTTACTCCAGTCAAATATTCTGTTCTACTGGTGACAATCTTTCTGTTCAGCTGGTTGACCAGAAGTGTCAATAATATTCATGCTTCTTGCCTGATAATTCATATAGCATTTGATGGTTGTACAGTTATGTCATTTGACCCTAATGATATAACAAAAACAAAAATATAGTGCTTTAATGTTTACAAAACACTTCTCTAACAACTCTGTAATGTTGTAACATATTATCATTCTCACTTTACAAATGAAGAAACTGAGGCCCAGAAGTTAAGTGACTTGTCCAAAGTCACAAGACACAGTCTGGTCACATTCATAGGAATTTCAGTTCAATACTTCAAGAATCTAAGACTTCATCAATGTGGGTGCTTCCTCAATACATACAATGTAACCCTTCTTCTGCTGAGTAGACTGGGCTTTTGGTACAATTTTTAGGGATTTCATACCATTTAATATATGTAAACAACTTAAATTTAAGTGAGACACAAGTCATTCCTACAAAAGTTGAAAAACACATGTTTTTCCCCTAGGGCTGATGATAGAAAAGGTAGTGGGGTAGAAAATTTATAAGCCAAGAAAATAATTTACTATATCATATAATATTGCTTTAGACACGTCCAGCTGCTGAGATGCATTTTCACGACTTGCAAAATAAGACATCTTTAAATGTGTTGAACATGTTTACCTTTGGAATGATCTGCTTTTGTTTGATACCTTTACTTTTCCTGTTAAAATATTAAAAATTGTTTTTATGAAATTGAATGCACATGATTTCTATATTTGGGTTAGTTCAGCAAGCCATGCCTTGCAGGTTAGCGAGGTCAAGCTAAGAAGCCAGAGAGGAAGAGAACAAGTGCAACAACTCACTTTAGAAATCCTTTAAAAATCATATAGGAGGGGAGATTGTATGAATATGTAATTTAGCTAATCAAGACATAATGCACATACTTTGGTGGTCACAGGTAAATGTTTACTTCTTATTTTGAGAGCAGAACTACTAGCAAAGTAAAAGGAAATCTGGTCAGTGACCATTCACATTTTCCAAGTGGAGATTCCAATGACTAACTTAGCATAGTTTTCTAACCTATAAAAACTGTGGCCTGCTGAAGCTTTTGCTGAAGGATCCCAAAATAATTCAATAAACACTTATAAAATATCTACTAAGAGCAGGGCAACACTGGTTAGACACTAGGAATTCAAAGATGAAAAGGACACAGAAAGAGAATCTGGCATAGGGGAGTATAGAGCAAGGTATGCTATGATGAGGGTAAAGGCGTGATAGACACAACATGCTCTAGGATAATAGGAAGAGGCTGGGGGGGAGGAGAGAAGCGATTCCAAGTTCGAGATTATGCGTCTAGATCACAGTATCAGTTGATTAAGACACTGATTATACTTTTCTTTGTACTGGATGCCTCAGTAATGTCTCTGGGGAAAACTTAACTAGTCCAAAGGTCTCTAGGCTTTCCTCTTTAGCTAGAGCACGGGGTTAGCTACAAAATGAAGCTTTGACCTCTGAGTTAATTTTGAAATTTCATAGGGCAGGAGCTAACTATTTTTCATCACATGAGTTTAAGGTAGAAGTCAGCTTCTAAGCAGCTGAGAATAAGATTAAAATGAGGCCACAGGTGGGAAAGCCTTACAAAATCCTTGGAACCTGCAGATCTCCACCTGTATTTCTGAGATGCTTCTTTGGGGCCAACAATGAGAGACAACAAAAAAGGAAACTCCCTTTGCACGCTGAGATTTAGCCCTAACATTCAAGATTGTTGTGGGGTTTGGTTTTTTTTTGGGGGGGGGTGGGGCCATTCAAGATAGGGTTGAGAGGTGTAGAGCAAGAAAATAAAAGCCTCCTGAAATACGTTAAGTCATAATGGCAATAAACATTTATTCAACCTCGAAAGGCCCTGTGATTAGCACTGGAAACACAGAAACAAAAGCAACACAGTGCCTTCCCCCCAGGAGTTTACAATCTAGTTAGGGAATGAAATGTATACCACTAACTCTAATACAAGCTGGGAGAGTCAAACAAGAAACACTTGAGGGATTCAAGGAAGGTGGTGGGCTCTCTTCTCACTGAGGAGGATCAAGGTAGACATCATAGAACACAATTCTATTGAGCTGGGCCTCAAAGAACAGGAAGCCCTCACTGGTGCCTGCTAACCTTTAACTACTCTGCCCTGACTGACGGCTATCCTATTCCCCACAGTCTTTGTTTCAAATCTTTTCTCTTAAGCCACATACTGCATGCTTCCATCCTCTCACTCAGCAGAACATCTCACTTTACACTCTCCAGAAAAAACTGAGGCCATCCATTGTGAACTCTCTCTCCTTCTCAATTCTATACATCACCCACCCCAATTTTCTCCTCCTTTACTCCAATCTGAGAAAGAAGTGCCAATGCCAACCCTTCTGCTTCTGCTCTTGATCGCTATCCCTCCCATATCCTTTAGCAGCTCACCCCTTTAATCCCTTTTCTCCCCTAATGTCTTATCTCTCCTTATCTACTGACACCCACCTTACTTCTGAAAAACATGCCCAGATCTCCTCCATCCCTAAAAAAAATTAAAAAACAAAAACCAAAAAACAAAAACCAAACTTTTAAGGTGATGCCATGGACAGAAGAGTACTGGCCCTGGAGTCAGGAGGACCTGAGTTCAAATCTGGCCTCAGACACTTGACACTTCCTAACTGTGTGATCCTGGGCAATTCACTTAACCCCAACTGCCTCACCAAAAACAAACAAACCAACAAACTTTTACTTGAGCCTTAAACTGAAGTTTGAGGGAATCCTGATCCTTTGCTTTTCACAACCAAATTCCTAAAAAAAGCTGACTACACTCAACAACTCTGCTTTCTCACTCCATCCCCTTACCTCTCAGTGCCTTACAATCAAGTTCCTGACTTCATCCTTCAACTTACACTGCTTTTCCCAAAGTTAGTCATTGAGTTGCCAAATAAAATGGCCTTTCCTCAGTCTACATCCTTTTTGACCTCTCTGCTACATTTAATGCTGCTGACCATCTCATCCCTTCGAGATACTTTCTCTTCTCTGCGTTTTCATGACACTGTCCTGTCTTGATCACCAGTCTTATCATCTGCGTTCTACCCCCTGTACATGGGTATATGGCAGGATTTTGTTCTAGGATCTGCCTATATTCTCTGGGTGATTTTATCAGTGCCTGAAAATTCAACGACCCACTCTATGTGGCTGACTTCAAGTTCTATAAACTTAGCTCTAGTTCATCTCCTGAACTCCCCCACATCGTCAAGTGTACACTGGACATCTCTATGTGGATATCCTGGCGGCATCTCGAATTCCTTATCTTTCACTCCCATTTCCCAACTCTGCTCTTTCTGCTGAGGGCACCACAATCCTTCCAGTCACGCAACCTCAGAATCATCTAATCTTCCTCCTCTCTCACCTCCTTAGTTAGCCAATTAACGGCTAACTCGAAAGTTCTGCCTCTCCAGTACCTCTTCACATCTGTCTGCCTTCTTCACTTACGGGGCCACTACCCTAGTTCAGCCTAGTTTTCATCTCTCCTCTGGACTACTGATTACTGTCTCCTAATAGGGCTCCCTGTCTCCAGTCACTCTCTTCTCCAATCCACTCTTTACAGTTTTCAAACAAATATTCCTAAAAGACAAGTCTGATCATGTCACTGCCCTGCTGAAGAAGCTCTAGTCATTTCCTCTTGCTTCCAGGGTAAAAGACAACCTCCTTTGTTGTCAATCTGGCTCCAACTTGCTTTCATGAGCACACTAGTCTCCTTCCTGTACTCTAGGGCCTTGGGAAGCTGGTCCACCTGCCCTGTACATTATATTCCCTTTCCTGTCTCTGCACCTTAGCGAGGCTCTTCCTCATGCTCAGAATATACGCCCTCTTCTCCTTCTCATGGAATCCCTAGCTTCTTTCAAAGACTAGCCCAAGTGCTACATACAACAAGGAGTCTACAATCTCCCCTGTCAGTAGAGGTCTCCTTCCTGCCCCAAAATTAATTTGTATCTATTTCATACATATTTTATATTGACTTTTCTATGTACACAGTGTTATAACAGAATATAAATTCTACAGGGTCAGAGATGGCTTTTGTCTATTTCCAGTGCCTATCAAATAGCCAACACTTAATAAGATCTTGTTGAATGGCCCTACACAAAGGAGGAAGGTAAGAGACGGCAAGGGCAGGTCAAGATTTGGTCACTGCCAGTAGAAGACAAGCACAGAAGAGACGGCAGGAAGGGTGACATGAAGAAGTAAGGGTTGTTTGTGGAACCAGGCTGACAGCCATTAAACACTAAGTGATGTAGTCTGTATTTTCACCTTTAGGAGAAAGGAAGTGTCATGGAGGTTTGTCAGCAGGGTGATTACAGGATCAGGAAAGTGAGCTGGAAGATTACTCTGGTTGTAGTGTGAAGGATGAATTGGAGAGGAGAGTAACTAGAGGCAGGGAGACAAGTTAGGAGGCTATTCTCGTGAGTGAAACAGAAAGGTTTTATAAACTAGAGGGGGTTTTCCAAGGCATTTTGTGGTCTAGGAAGCCAGCTAGCAGTCTACAGCACATTCACTGTGCTCAAAGAAACCTTAGCAATAGTTAAGAGTTAAACAAGAAATATTTTCAGCAGCCACCATACTGACTAGAAAGGAATCTACTTGGGCCTGTTATTTTCTATCAGAAGCAATGCATGTCTGCAGATAACATCTGCTTCTGCACTGAAGGAATAGCATGGTTATTGTTGCACTTGCAAAGAAGTATTACCCAAAGCACCAGGAACTCACAGGAAGTGGGCCCGGGGCTGCTGAAGCCGACTGAGGGACTGAAGAAGCCTACGAGGGTCTTCACCCTGCCAGGGCAGTCCTTTTATAGTCTTGATGATTTGGTCATGCAAATCCCTAAGAGGTCCAGAGGGAAAGGCAGAGAGAGGAAGATGTCCCGGATAGAGAAAACAAGGCGTTAAAATAGGAAGACCTGTCACCACAGGAGTTGAAACAGGAAATTCTATTACCCAATGTGCCCCAAAGTTAAAATTAGGGTGATTTCTCAGGCTATGCGATCATAAACATGCACTTCAACAACCCTCAATTCATCTCTGGGAGATGAATTCTCCTTTGCTTTAAGATATGGATAAGGACGAGGAGACTTATCCTGTCTGTACAGGAGAAGACTTGAGGAAAAGGGCAGCTAGAACAGAATTTTGGCCTTCAAATACTTTAGACTTAGTTTGCTTGATCCAAGGAGACAAAATTATGACCAATAAGTGGAAGTTAAAGAAAGGCAGATGTTCGCTGAATATAAGGAAGGACTTTTTAGCCATCAGAGCTGTCCAAAAGTGGAATGAACTTCTGGGGTCTTCCGACAGAATCCAGGGGAACACTTGTCAGGGATGTCATGGAGAAGGATCCGTGCCTCAGGAAGCTATTGAACTAGATGACGCCTTAATTCCCTTTTAAGCAATGTTGCAAGGACTGAGTTATTACTCTACAGATGAACTTTTTGCAATATGGTTTCTCACCAATGGAAATCAGAAAATAAATAATCATGAACAATTTATAGGAGCAAATTTATGACCCTTAGTGGACTTGTTAAAAAGTGCCAACATATATTTTCTTAATATGTCAAAGAATAATGTTTTACTCGGGGTCATGGGATTCAGAATTAGAAGATGCCTTACTTGGGAAGATGCAAACTGCATTTTCCTCTTTTTATTTTCTGATATACTAACCTCCTTAAAAATTTGAGTTTAATGCCATTTTTAACAATCTGTTAAACTAACATATAGCAACTGTACATGGAAAACAATCTCACAGGATCTTCCCTTAAAAAACTGCAATATAAATTTTTCTATTAATTTCAGTTATTCAGTAATTTTGGTCTGGTGTTTTTTAGTTGTCAAAATGTTATCTCCTCCCCTGCCGTCCTACTAGGACATCTCCTGGCAGTGAATAGGTGACACTGGTTTTTCAAAAGTTATGCCAGCAGAGTACAAGCTCAGGCAGGTCCTATTCAACCTGAGGAGTGAGGATTTAGCAATGGATCATGTGTTTGTTGTCTGTTCAAGGTAGAGCCTGGCTAAAATGAAAGGCTCATGAGAAGGTGGTTAGCCAGAGGATGCTCATAAAGACTCTATAAGGAATCGGGAGTTAGGATTTATATTGATAGAAGCAGGGTTCATATTTTACTTACTCCTTTTGTAGTACTAAAGCAAGTAAAATGCTGTTTTATCATCAGATTTTATTTTCAAAATTACAGTATTTAAAGGCCATTCTCTGAAATAGCTTGAGGAGATCCAAATTAAGTGCTTCAAAATATTACTTTAAATTTGTTACTTTTGTTAGAGTTTTGGATTTGACCACTAAGGTCCCTTTCAAATATGTGATCAATGTTTTTGGAAATGATGTAATTGAAAGTCCAATAGTCAAACTTCACTCTTTATTTTAAATACATGTTTAAGCTCTTAAAAGTTAGCCTGGGATAAGCCCTAATTAGTAGTCCGATCACCATGTGATCCATGCACCATGCTAAGTACCTACCTTCTTTCACTCCTTCTCCAGAGAGGCACAAACCAAAGATAACAGAAGTGTAAGTTTCACTTCTAAGTATAAAATGCTATTATACTCCTGAGCTTCTCAGTGCAACAGCCACTTTTCAAAAGAAAACGAGATTTGCTTTTCCCCAACTCTTAAAAAACCATCTTTTTTGCCTTTTGCAGTGCCAAATCTGTCCAGGTCACCATGCCTCAGCTTCTAGCATTTCACAGATCTGTAACCTGTAATCCATTCCATTTTCTTCAGAACAATCGGTATCACTTTTTTCCTGGCTTGAATTCTGCACTGAGTCAGTTCAGGAAGATTAGCTTCCCATGAATGTGCCTCCCTGGTCTCTGCTTACAAAGCCTACTTACTTCTTGCTTTCATAAAAAGCAATGATGTCCTCAAAAGCGTTAATATCGAATTCCTCAGAGCAATCAAATGAGAAATCAAGCACTGAACGGCTGCAAAGGGAAAATTTATATCACCTAAATACATTAGGAAAAGGTGATTCTAAACATGGAGAGCATCACCTGGGCTCTATCCTGTAATGAAACCTATATTTCACAGCATACTGCTGTTAATGGTCAGCTTCATTCTTTTAAAAGCACACGTACAGCTTAGGAAACCATCATGTCTCTCCTCTATTTGTGAACAGAATTTAAAACACGGAAAAGAAACAGACTGAGAAGGCATGAATGGGTTTCGATTTGCACCACCGGTGGGAATACCAACATGGATTCACTGAAATATATACAAAGAGAAAGTTCTATAAACATAGGGTGAAACTATCAGATTATCACTTGGTTACATTTTAATTTAATTTTCAATTTAAGAGTTATTTGCCTAGTACCTTCTGTGAAGAAAGGATTTTTGTGATATAATTTGGTGAATGATCTGATTTTCCCTAGACAGGTGTCGTGCACTATTGATGATGCAATGATGGTGGGAGGGGCATGTTTAGGGGTGACTGTCAGTGGTTGCTTCTTCCACTAAAGAAGGAAGGCCTAACAGGACAGAGCTGGGTAAGCAATGGCTTGAGATGGAGGGAAGAGAGACAGGGCTGGCACACAAGGTACAGTTTTTAATACGACTCTCGATATACGTATGCATTTTAACACCAGAAAATTCCATTCTGCATGACACCCTGGTGTTTATCTTGTGATACATCAAGTCACCTATTGTAGAGAAGGTGGAGAGACTCGAAGAGTACAGCAGCACATTTGCAGGTACATAATTATGAAGGAAAACAAACTTTATCAAGAATTTTTTGTCTTTTGAATGCTGGCTAAAGCAAATGAAGAAACATGACAATTTCTACAAAATTTCAGAATCCCACAAATATTTTAACTGTATCTAATATTTAAATAACAAGGATCCCCTTCCCCCCAATAACTATCATTGCACTATGAAATTAAAATAAATTACTCCTTTCAGAGGTAAAAATTATATTCATACCTTCACTGGGGAGTGAGTGGGGGGACAATTTTCCAACCTTGCTTAGGCTGCATCAAATGCCTTTCTCAGCTCTGCCATAGGACTTCAAAATATTTTGTGTATCTCAAACAAAAATCTGAAGATACTAACTGAAAACTAGCAGAAGCAAATTAATTCAAGAAGCATCTATGCTCTTGATAATTTTAACAGAATAAGAGAAATGTGCTTAAATCAAACATATCACTGTGCATGACCAAAAGGTCATGTGGCCAAACACGAATATCTACAAACAAACTCTGAAAAGAACCTATTGTAAACTGAGATTGAATGGATTTCAATAGATCAGGTGACATGGTGATAGCCTTATTTCATCTCAGGTTAAAAAGCAACCCAATTTCATTCATTTCCAGATTTCTGTTGCTGATAAATGAGAATTTCAGTTATTCCCCCCTGTTACATAAATCCTCACTTAATATTTTGGATTTTTCATATGGCTACCTTCAAATGTCTTTGATTTAGATAAAGTAAAGGTTTCTCTTACCGATAAACTTTTTCCGTCGGAGTATTGGTTTTCTGTAGCTCTCCCAGGGGAGTTCTGATTGTAGGGGATGCCACACCAGCTAGGAAAGAAGATAAGTAGATACAATGGGAAAGGATTAATAAAGAATCAAAACAATACAAAGAGATTTTGAAATACTGATTGTACAATGTTTAAATGGATCACCAATAAGAATTATTTCTTGCTTCTCACAAGGGTTTCATATTATTTCCTTCATTAACAAAACAAAATCACACAATTGTGCACACTAACAAAATAGATACAAATTAATCTTTGTGAACCTGAGGTGAATAAACTGCCTTCTCTAAAAACAGAACTTCAGATTAAAAATGAACTTTTATTTCCTTATTTAAATGCATATAATTGGTCATTTTAAATCTCAAAAGACTTATTAAATAATCATTAATAAAATAGACAAATACTGTAGTTAAGTTTTTGTGTGACTTCATTTCTCAACCTTTAGAGATTGGTTGTTGAGGGGTCAGAGATGTAGTTCTTGATGGACTCATGTAACAACTTGAAACAACTAAGCAGGAAAAAAAAAAGCAAACTTGCCAGTAAAGGAAAAATTTTGTTCACTGAAAAGGCCAAAAGGATTTAACATATAACCTGATGGAAAACACGTATTGTTCAGTTTCATTCAGGGACATAAAACATTACTAAATCACTAAAAAATCTGAAAATAAAACTTTATAATAAATTGCAGCAACAGTTGACATTTATAGTCCTTCCTAGTTACAAAATATTTTACTTATACTATCTTGACTGATCTTCAGAACAACCCAGTAAGGCAGATAATGGAAGTATTTTTATCTTCATATTACAGCTGAGGAACGTGATTAATGATCTTTTAAATGCCAAATCCAATGGCCTTTTCTCAATCCTTGTCATTCTCGACCCCTTGGAAGCCAACACCGTTGATCACCTCCTTCTCTTTGATGGTCTCTTCTCTCTAGGTTTTCATAACATCGTCCTCTCCTGCTTCTCCTCCTACCCTCTCTGAGCAGGCCACCTCAGTCTCTGGCTAGGTTGGCCCTACAACTTTAAGTATCCCACAAGGTTCTGTCCTGGGTCCTCTTCTCTTTCTATACCATTGTTTGGTGATCTCATCTGCTCCCACAGACTCAATTATTTCTGTGACTGTCAGATCTATTTATCCAGAACTCTCTTGACCTCCAGCTGCCTATCAACTTGAACTGGATGTCTTTTAGACAGCCCAAACTCAATACATCCACTATGAAACTCATCATCTTTACACTCTCCTCTTTGCCTACATTCCCCATTACTGCTGAAGGCATCGCCATCCCTCCAGTCACGAAGGTTCAAAACCTAGGTGTCATCCTTGACTCCTCACATTCACTTATCTCCCCCTCCCCCTATACTCAATCAGGTGTCAAGTCCCATGGATTTGACTTTTGTAATATCTCTTACAATTAAATAAACTCTAATGGCTCCCCAACTCCAGGATCAAATAGAAAATTCTCTGTTTAAAAGCCCTTTATAACCTAGCCCCTTCTTACCTTTCCAGTCTTTTTATACCTTATTCCCCTCCATTACTTTTCAATCCCGTGACACTGGCCTCCTTGTTGTTCCTACCACAAGAGACTCCTATCTCCTGACCCCGTACATTTTTGTTGGCTGTCCCCCAGGCCTGGTATTCTCTCCCTCCTCACCTCTGCCTCTTGCCTTCCTTTCAAATTTCAGTTAACATCCCACTGTATGTAAGAAGCCTTTCTCAAACCCCCTTAATATTAGTGCCTTACCCCTGAGAATATCTCCAATTTATTTAGACTGAGAGTTGGGCCTATTTTTACCTTTCTTTGTGTCCCGAGCACTTAGCATAGTTTGCCTGGAACAAAGCAGGCACTTAAGAAATGCTTGCTAACTTGACAAAACTGGCTGAGTGAAATGGAGATTTGCTATAAGCCACACAGCTGCTAAACTGCCCCAGCCCAGCCTGGAACTCAGGCCTTCTGACTAATCGCCCCCTGTCACCCAATCCAGTATCCTTTACACTCTACCAAACTGCACCCCCTTGATGTTAGTTGTGGCTCTTGCTTCTCCTCTTTGGTCAGGTTGGACAGACTTGATTTAGAAGGATAACTGAGAGTCACTGATCACTAGGTAACACTGGAGAACCGTCTGCCTTCCACAGGAAATGATACTCAGGAGTGAGTCATCCGGGTAGCACTTTGACCTAGTCAAAAAGTACTGCCCTAGTACAGTACCGTACATGTTATCTTTGACTGTTATTTTTACTTTAAGTTGTATTAGTGCCTTTTGATTATATCACAGTAATTTCTCCTTAATCCCACTCCTGACCCTACATTGAATACTCTCCTAAAAACAAAAAAAAAACAACAAAAAAAACCACATTTAAGCAAAAGCAGTATAGCGACCATTTCTGTCCAGTCCTACATATGTTTAAGGATCTGAGTGCTTAGTCAGACACCCTACAGCTTTTCCTTTTCTTTATTCTGAAGTGAGAAGAAAATAACAGTAATTCATATGAATACAGTGATTTAGGAGACAAAGCTTTTACTAACTCTGGGAGGTAGATAATATAACTATTTCCATTTTGTAAATGGGGAAACTGAGTCTCACAAGTATTAAATGACTTGCCCAAGATTGACAGACACTAAGTATCAGAGTCAGAACTCAAACTCAAGCCTAGCACCCTTGCCACTGGACTTTGCTGGGTAAGGCTTGGAAAGGAGAACTACAAGGGCCAGAGAAATGTAATACCAGGGAAGGAAAATTTCAGGCACAGTAAGCACTTCATGCTTTATTCTAACCCTCTACTGTCTTAATTCGCCATCACACTTTCACTTCCTGTTCTGAGATTTAAAACAAACTGAAACCATAAAAAGGGGAGATTCCATTTACCCATCTCAAAAGTCTGGCAGTGCACTTACTAAATGTAGAGGAAGCACTGCCACCCTAAGGACCCAGGCCAGGGTAGTGACTCAGCTTAGGAAATCAAAATACTGCAAGTGAACAACCGCTTGTTTCAGACCTCCCTCATAAGAAGGTAGATGCTGCAACTTGTTCTGCAGATACAGAGTAGCTTTTCCCAGGTGGCCATGAGCAGATGCTGGAATTTTCAAAGCCATCAGATGCGGTTTATGCTCTGCTCAGTACCTGAAGCTCTCTCGGCCCTCTCAGCACGGAGTCGTCCTGCCTCCCGGAAAACGGCCATTGCTCGAATGGCTGCTCGGAGGATGGCCCAGCGGAACACAGCCACAGGATCCATCCCAATTAATTCCCGAATGTAGTCACTCTCACTACTTCTGAGCAAAGCCACAATGTCAGGTCTCATGTAATCCATATTCTTCTCTCGGAAATCCTGGGGAAATATGGTCAGAAAGTCATCATTTTCTTTTCTTTTTTTTCTTTTTCTTTTTTGCGGGGGCTAGGCAATGGGTTAAGTGACTTGCCCAGGGTCACGAAGCTAGTAAGTGTTATGTGTCTGAGGCCGCATTTGAACTCGGGCCCTCCTGACTCTAGAGCTGGTGTTCCATCCACTGCACCACCTGGCTGCCCCAAGTCATCATTTTCTATATGCATTTCTGTCCTTAAGTCAGAATGAAAAAAGGGCTTCATGGGGTTACAGATTCAGAGGAATTTAGGGGTCGGTTATCTAGCTCAATTCTTCCAATGTAATGATGAGCAAACAGACCCAGAAAGAAATGACTTGTTGAACCCAAGTAGTAAATAGCTGAATTGGGACTTGAAGTATCTGTTCTACTGGAAGAAGATAATCTAAACTCATTCTGGCATCAATAATGCTCTATGAAGATGGTAAGAACAATGGCTACTACACACACACACACAGAGCACACAGCTAGGTGTATAACTCTTATGTGTATCTATACACACACACTGAGTAAATGGTTGTAAGAAAAATGACTACTATTTAAAGTAAGAAGATGGGGATCACAAATTATCTAGACACTTAAAAGTATAACCAGGCCTTTATTTCTGGGCAAACAAAGACATCACTGACAACTTTAAGTTAAATACGCTGAAAGTAGACAGAAAGCTGGCATTAAAGTGAGGACAATCTAGGTTCAAGGTCTGTCTCTGACACAGACTGACCAGAGCCTCTTGTAAAATCACTTAATCTCTCAGTGGTCCAGGCAGCTAATACTATACAACACAGAACAATTATTGATCTGGGCTGGTGGGAAGTTTCCTCACCAATCCTTACTGGGCATTTCTTGACCAATGAAATCACACACAGGGACCTAAACAAACATATACTGCATACCTTTATCTGATATTTAACTTTCCCTGCAAAATGCTGGATGACAAATGCAGGCTCCATTACCGGGGTCCCAACAAAGAACCTGTTCTCTTCATGTTGCTGTTTGAACTTCGCCAGCAGAGTCTGACTGGTGGCATGTGGAAAACTATAATAAAATTGAAATGCTGAGTTTAAGAAGAGTGAGCACAATGAAAGAAATGTGATCATAACTAGATGTTTTGGGTCTTTCTGAGCTAGCCATAAATTTAATCATAGTGATTAGAAAGAAAAAAAAAAGTGCTACACACAGGGCAGCTGAGAAGTAACTAAACCACTCAAAAGGAACAAAGATACATTTCTAGACAGATAAATTTCTAAAGCAAAAGATTCATAGCATTCAATAGACAGAATACCATTCTGAGGGACTTTCAAAGATCTTTCACTAAGGAAACTTAAAGTAACAATAGGTAAAGGTAATTTATTACTATTATTAAGCTCAAAGGGCTAACAGTGACTTTATAGGTCTAGCATACATGGTATGTCACTAGAACAATGATAAATAGAAGTGGATTTAGCTTTCCGACGCGTGTTCTTAGAGGCCAGTTCTGAAAGAAGGCACTTAAAGTCCACTTAAGCCAACTCGTGCCTGACCAAGCTCTCTGTTAAGGGTCCCCCAGTCTTAGCTTGAAACTGTCCAATGAGGGGGAACCCACAGTCTCCTGAGGCAGTCCACTTTACTTCTGGATTAATTTTTAAGGAGATTTTCCTTAATATCAAGCTGAAAACCTACCTCTGCCACTTGTACCTGTTGTTCCAAGTTCTGCCGTCTCAGGACAAGCAGAACGAGTCCTATCCACAGTTTATATGACAGTGCTTCAAACACCCGGAGGTAGCTATCAAGACCCCTTCTTGGTCTTTTCTTCTCTGTTGTATACACGCTCAATCTTTTCAACCAATCCTTCTATGTTACAAAGAACTGAATATAGCACTGCAGATGTGGCCTGACCAGACAGAAGAACTACCCCCTCTCTGTGGACATTGCACCTCCTTTAAGGCAGCCTAGGATGGCCTTACCTTTTTTTCTGGTATGTAACATTCTGTCATGTTACATTGTTGACGAAAATGATATTGAACTTGTAGCCCACTAAAATTTCCATGTTCTGAACATGTATTATGGCCTTTTCCTGCCTGGACATGAGTGAAAACTATCATGTGATGGTAAAAAGTGAGTATAGCTATGTATTAGGTAGCACTGAATGAACAGAGGGCCAAGAATTGTAGAGACAAAAATTTCACAGTTTCCTTTAATAAGCCATTATAGCCACCAACAGAACTGCAATTCCTACTCATGTAATACATAGTAAGGTACACAATGTCAGTAATTTCAGTATGATTTGAAGCTTTTACTAAAGTACTGGCCTGGAGGTTAATGGTTTCTTGAAAGCTTTATAAGAGAACCAACTTTGAGAGGAAAGCTCTGAACAAGGCCCAAACTCAGCTCAGTGAGGATGGAATCATCACCAGGAAAAGAATTTTTCATGAAGATTGTCTGTACTAAAGTGTGGAAGATTTATAATCTACACTGGCTGAGGGAGATGGAGAATGATAAAAATCTCTGAAATGCAGCTTAAATAAAGACATGGAGTTTCTAAGCTTATAAGTAATAAATATTCTTTGTGCTCAAATGCTTTCTTAAAGAGTAACTGTCACCTTAGCTCTAGAGCACAGTCAATTAAAACTTATCCAGTCCACTACATTTCTTGATTACCAGACAATACCAGCCAATCAACTCCTCTATTTTTCTTGTCTACTGATGACCAGACAAGCAACAAGTATAAAGACTTACTTGCTTTCTTCATCTAGCAGATAGAAAAGGCCAGTTGGCTTTTTGCTGATCAAGTGAATACACCCCACATTATCTGTGTAGTCAATATTGTGCCAAGTGATTCCTTCACTCTGATATTCTTCCTGTAGAATTAAAAAATGCTTTATTAGCAAAAAACCTGAAGGGCTACATGGGCTCCGGTAACTATTAAGATAATATAAAATTAAAAGGCAGTTAAACTTTATACAATTTAACAATGATTTCTACATATTTGTATAAATGCATCAATTCCTCACTTAGCAGAGAGAACAAAAGGCAAAAAGAAATAAAATATTTAAGAGAGAATACTTTTATCTTCATCCAAAATAAATCCTTATAAAGGCTTCATCTGTGATTTTGAAAGCTAGCTAAAGTCTAGGTCATCTGTCCCCACTGGAAATTCAGTTACTTGCCAAACTGAGCCAACAAAAGACTCCTAACATGATGTGTGTGTGTGTGTGCCAAAAAAAGCCCCTGATGTTTTCCCCAATAAAGCTGAATGGGATTTTACCAAATATTCCTGTGTTGAGATCACGTGTCAGAGCCCAGGGTAATTTTGTGGCAAATTAGAATTCCAATTTCAATGCTTGGTTATAAAGTATCATCCCAGAGTTTTAACTCTTTCCCTCTTCTCCCAGAAACTAGATGTCAAGAGAATTCAATTTCTTACCTGTTCTAGTTTGAAAATGTGTTGATTGAAGTAATACTGAAGTTGTTCATTTGCATAATTTATGCAGAACTGTTCAAAACTGTTTCTTTCAAAGTCTTCAAATCCAAAGATGTCCAGCACCCCAATGGACAAGCACTGACAGGGGCAGAAAGATCTATTTTTAAACGGCAACTTAAAAAACATTCAAGAAAACTAAGCTTCTGTCAGCAAATCAAGGCCCACAGCCAAATTTTCTCTAGCCATGAACAAGCTAAGTAATGAACTTCTTATCCAATACATCAAGTCAATATTTCCAAATTTCTGATGCAAAGGAGATATTTTGAGTGCTTTTAGCACTTACAGGGCAAGGTGAGCACCATAAACTGTATCAACACAAATTAATTCAGCACTTGAGCAAAGAAGCAGAAACTATCAATAGGAAGAACTCACTGCAACCGATTCTTCCATGTCCTTTTTATTGAGGAGAGCATGATTGATACGGAGAACAATCCAATCAAAGAGAGCACTATATAACGATTTTGCCATTGAGTCACGAGCTGTTATTGCCTGTGGACAAAAGCACAAGTCTTTTAGTGACAGTCAAAAAAAAGGAAAGGAAAAGTGGTTCCCTCTTGCAAACATACTGGCATGTGTATTAATGTTGTCTTCTGAGGTTTAAAAACAAAAGGAAAACAAAACAGGCACTAAGACAACTAAAATATCATGGGAAAAAGACAATGACAGCAGAGAGCTTTTATTACAAAACAATATGAATTAACATTACAGACATCGTGTTAGGACACAATTATAATGTTATTATGGGGGGGGCAAACAGCTATTGCATGTCGCTATGTTATATTTTGGGGAACATAATGTGACCTATGGTCCACCTGTAGTCATGTAATGAGAGGCAATGTCATAAGAGAGCTCCACTAATTAAATCACAGGCATAAAAAAGACTACCAACTAATGCTTTACTGTAGGACTTTTATGATTTTATTCTGAATGGTAAGGTTTTTAAAATGGGAAGGAACCTTAGATATTGAGTCCAACCCTTTCATTATGGAAGCACATGTTTCAAGGACCCTCTCACAAAGGACATAGTGGACTTACCTCACTGAGACTGTAGGGAAGAATAAGTTTGTCATTGACAGTCACAGTTTTTCTTTTGGTCAGAACTTCCACTAAAATTTCACGCTTTACCTGGACAGTAGAAAAAAGGAAAGAAAAGGTAAAGTCTTTCAAATCTTGCCCTCCTCTTAACCACTTTTAAGTCACACTCGGGCTCTGAAGTGGGAAAGCCTGGGGTCCTGGGATGGCCAAAAGATGTACCCCAAACTGCTGTGAGATGGACACATTAACTCCTGGCATAAGGAATTTGGTGGTAGGCTACCATGGAGGATGCTTCCTGGTTTTGCCAAACAGTAATAATATCAACATAACTTTCATATAACCTTACAGCTATACGGTGCCGTACTGCTTTACAAAGTTTCCAGTGCTTTTACATACGCTATCTTATTCAATTAAATTCAACACTTTATTGAGAACCTAACCCATGAAAGGCCTTTAGAAATACAAAGTTGAGCAAAATTCATTCTCAAGACCTCAAGGGATATAAAATAATGATAATGATGATACTACTACTACTACTAATAGCGTTTATAGGTTTGCAAAACGCTTTATTAATAACTCATTTTATTCTCAACAACAACCTTGGGAGGTAGGTGCTTTATTATCTCTATTTTCCAGATGAGGAACCTGACGCAGACAGAGATTAAGTGATTTGCTTAGGGTCACATAGCTAGTAAGTGTCTGAGACTGGATTTGAACTCATATCTGTAGTGGCCTAAAAATACAAATGACTACAGTGCAAGACAGAATATTCTAGGTATCAAAAATGACATATAAATCAAGTGCTATGGAGGTCTGGAGGAAAGACTGGGCAATTGCTTGGGAAGGAGATATGAAAGAAGGTTTCCTCAACAACAACAAAAAAGGTAGGATTTTAGTGAGAGATAGGGAAGACGGCATTACAAGCTAAGAAATCAGCCTGAGCAAAGGCAGGAGCTGTATGAATATGTAGGGCACTTGTCCACAGGAAAACAGATTTCTTTAGACAAAGATTCAATTTTGCACTTTTCTAGAAGGTATCTTCTAGCACAGATTGAACTGCTACATGTACACAGCAATAAGCATCTTCAAATGTAAGATGTGGAGCACAAAAGCCAGGAAAAAAGAGATACCTTTAGAAGTTGTGACAGTGTGTCTAGTACCTCTGGGGGTCCCACTTCCAAACCTTCATCACGACCTGTAGCTCTCTTTTTATAGGTGACATTACCCAGGTATAAGATAGCTGATAGAACTGAAAAAATCCTTGGATACAGAAAAGATAAATTCTTATCTTGCAAATTTTTAATTCAAGTTTTAAGAAAGGTTTCCAATAGAACTATACATTAAAAATTCCCGGTAACTTTTACTGAAATCATGAGTGAATTCCAACTAGACATGAGACAAATATAATTCAATGCTTTTCTTTACAATATGACTAGAAATAAGTTTAACATTTGAATAACTAGTAACAATGACTATTGTGATCACTTAATATTAATAATCAAGATACAATAAAATGATAATATGATTCTCAACATATAATAAACAAGAGGTATAGGACAGAACTATAACCCCTGAGTTAGGAAAATGCAGGTTTCAGTCCTGCTTCAAACACATATGAGCTGCTGTCTGATCCCAGACAAGGTGCTTCACCTCTCCTTACCCAGGCAACTCTGCAGAGAGAGCACCTGCAATCTGCATGGGTGGAAAGAATTTCCTCACCGGTGAGCTCCTGAGACTAATGAAATTATAGGCCTTACAAAGAACAAGGTACTAAGAATCTTTCATGTGTAGATGGCATTGTACAACTATACAATGCTTGACATCCATGATTTTACTCGATCCTCTCAATAACCTTGGGAAGTAAGCAATATGAAGAATATTTCATTTTATGGATAAGAACAAGGAGCTTTATAGAGGTTATGTTTTTTGTCCCTTGTTGCAGAGCTTGGGGCAGAGTGGCAACCTGCAGCTGGGTCTTCTGACTCCATTCAAAGCTGAGACTTTTTCTGTGACACCATATGACCTCTCAGAACATTAACATAATAAAGTACCTTTGGTGAAGTTGTAACAATTTACCTGAGCTGCTTATAAAAACAATCTGACTTACTGTTTCTTAGTTGCTGGAAGAAAGCCAACCATTTCCATGGCCTGTTTTAATCTTTCAAAGTCATGTTTCAGATCTTCTCCATCTTCAATCTTCAAGTTATGCTGTAAAAGAAGGATATCAAACTACTTGCCATTTTTGGAGCTGCAGGGCTGGCATACGAGAATAATTTTTGCTGGCACTAACAGGGTGACTATCCAAGCAACTGGGAATCAATGGGCCCCTTTATGCCATGTCCCTCGGCTCTCCTTGAAGCTTGCTTCAGAAGAGAAGAGGAAAAAGGCCTAGCAGCCTCTGACCTTCCAACAGCTCGTCAACAGCCACCACAGAACAGAACAGAACAGAACAGAACAGAACAGAACAGAACAGAACAGAACAGAACAGAA